CAGCTGGCAGTGTCTGCCACTCCACTGTGAATTTGAAATGATAATTGCTGCTTTCAAAATATGTATCAGTGAAGCTCTGCTGATTGCTGTACACATGTTAATTGATGGGAAATATTATCATCACAATATTTCAGTTGAATGAGCTGAGATAGACAGGTTAAAAAGTTAACTGGGATGCCAGGGAAGAATCCTGCCAGGGAGTATTCTAGCTGCTTCTCTAAGTGCTCTTTTTCTAGGAATGAAGGGGATTGGGGGTGGGGGGACACCCAGGAGGGGATGATTCTGGTCCTTTTCCATAAAGCTATAATTCCAGGCCATAAACGCTGTAGATGGCTGGAGCGCTGGTATGCACCAGCGTCTCTCCAGTCCTTTCACACAGGCAGTAGATCATCCCTTTAAATAATCGTTTTCCCTTTTTTTGCCAGAAGTCCTTTCAATTAAGTGGAGGTTTCATTGGAATAATTAAACCCTCCATCTCAAGCCGCTCACTCCAATCATCCAGGCAAATCAATTAACCAGAGATGCATTTATCTAACTGCCTCTTGACCCCCTTCTGGTTTCAGAGCTTTTGTGCTGGGGCAGCTCTTGGAGAGAAGAGGTGTCTGTCTCGCAAAGGCAGCTCGTTTCCAAAGGGCTTGGTACTCTCTGGATTTGAAGTAATAGCAGCTTCATCACTTATTTTATTCAGGATTTTATTTTTGCTTATTCACCCAACAAATATATATTGAACACCTACTAAGAGCAAGGCCTCATGCTGAGTTCTATGAGAGATGCAGAGATGAGACAGACGTGGCAGGCAGCTGAACCTCTCTGAACCTGTTTCCTCTTCTATAAAATGGGCATAGTGTATTAAATGAGATAATCCCACATGGAACATTTAGCACAGTGTCTGCCTATACCAACAACCATGTACCTTTTCATAGACAGCTACTAGAGGATATGCTCCAGCAAAATGAGAGCCCAGGAAGCAAGGAATCTCATTTGTTAGATTAGATGCTATACTTAATAAATGTTAGCTGTGATGATTGCTGGTTTAGTTAAGATCAGATGACGTGGAGTCAGTGTGGGCTGAGTTAGAATCTCTGCTCTGCCACTTAGTGGCTGTGGGATCTCACCCCATTATTTAACTCTGATCCTGCCTCTGCATCATAAAATGGGAATAATAAAACCTACTTTATTGAGCTCCTGTAAAAGTTAAGTGAGGTAACATCTGTGAAGTGCCCAGCACGCAGTCAGCACTTCTGGTTTATGAAGGGTGAACTGTCTGACGAGCATTACAAAAGATAGAATATGGTAAGTGTGCAGAGAATGGAGGTAACCATTTGATTCTTTATACTTAAATGCATTGTCCATATTTCCAACTATTGACATATGTTATTTTTTATTAATTTTTTTTTACCAAGATAATATATATGCAGAGTTAAAAATTAAAGTAGGCTTGTAATGAAAAACATCAGTTCTCAGCCTGGCCATCACCATCCCCAGTCCTGATCCCCAGAGGCAGCCACTTCTAACTGTTCTTCATTGTTATTTTCTTCTGCTCTTTACCTTCTTATTTCTAAATAATATGCTTGCATTGCTGTTTATTGCTATATCTGTTTAAAGATGTTGTTTATTGACATACTGTTAGGTAGATGAGAGTCTAGTTCTCTTTTCCCAGTAGCCCACTCCTTGCACTTTCCCTCCTCCATTCTCTTAATACATTTAGATCGCAGTTTTATGTGTTACATTATCATGACAAGGTAAATATTGTTCATGTCAAGGCAAGTTGTATGCTGTAATTATGTTTCCTTCCTCATCTTTTGTTTTTCCTGGAGTTAATATTGCCTTTCTTTTTTTTTTGTTCATTTGCTGAGGTTTTTTATGTCCCTATCCTTAATTTTTTCCATCTGACTGTCAATCCTGTCATTTGCCTAACAATATTATTTTCTAAATTACCAATATATCAGATAACCATTCAGTATTTTTCCCCTGACAACCTTGCTCTAGTGGGCCCTCCATGATCCTGATCCTTTCTATTGATAATAATCTTAGCCAGCTACTTTTTGCTGCATCCCTCTCATCCTGGAACTTTCCTTGCTGCTTTGTCCAATTAGATTCTCTGTTTCCTGGGCTCCATACCTTCCTCTTTATTGTTTTATTCCCTCATTTTACTGGAGCATATCCTCTAATAGCTTCCTAAGAAAGGGTACATGGGAGATAAATCTTTAGAGTCCTTGCCTTTCTGAAAATAATATTCTATTTTCACACATAATAGTTTGGGTGGGTATAGAATTCTAGGTTAAAAAGTATTTTCCATCAAAAATGTGACGATATTGCCTGTCTCCCAGCTTCCAGTGCTGCTATTGAAAGTTCTGATGCCAAACTTGCCTCCAGTCCTTTGCATATGACCTGATGTTTTCTCTCTGGAAGCTTTTAGGGTCTTCTCTCATTCCCTGGTGGCCTGAAATCTCATAATGATGTTCTGAGAAGGTTCTATTCCACTGATTGTACTGAGTGGTCAAAGACTCTTTAAATCTGAAGACTCATGATCTTACATTTGAAGAATCCTCTAATATTATTTCTCTGATAATTTCATCCCTTAATTTATATTATCTCCCCAAAAGACGTACAAGAAAGGAAGCATAGCCTCTATGATCTCTTTCTAGGATTTCTATTTATTGGGTATTAGACATTCTAAATTGACCTCATTTTTCCTCTTTCTTATCTTCCTTCTCTTTAAACTTTTTGGGACATTTCCTCAACTTTATCTTCCAAACTTTCTATTGATTATAAATTTCTGCTACTTTACTTTAATTGATAAGAACTCTTTCTTGTTCTTTGATTGTTCCCTTTTCATAGTATTCTACTATTGTTTTTTGGATGCAATATCTTATCTCATCTCTTAATGGAGTTTAATTATTGAATTGTTTTTTTTTTAATTTTCTCTTATTCTGTGCATCATCTGCTTCCCACGTGTTCCTTGTATCACTTTGTCTCTTGTGATCTCTTCCTTTCACAGGGAGGCTTTCCTTAGACATCAAGTGATCCTTGGCTCTCTATTCTTAAGTGGGAGGCAGCAAAAATGGTGTGTGCATGTTCTGCTTGCCAACTAATGGGCTTCGCTGTAGGGTGAACGGGCACCAACCGATTGTACTTGAATAACACCGACAACAGGGAGCTCATAACTCACTAAGCAATTGAGTCCTTTTTTGAGAAGCAATGTTCTTTTTAACCCTGAGCCAATATCTGCCATCTTAGGACTTGGTTTTAGTTCTGTCTGAAGCTTGTGTGTTGAAGTGATATTTCAGGAAGCTTTTGTACATATGCTTTCTGGTTAGAGTTCTTTAAAAGGTAAACTTTAAAAAAAAAAGGACATTCTAGGGGCTATATAGTAGAAATTAAGAGGAAGTCAGAGAACCTTGGGTCCCAGTCTTGCCTTCCATGCTAATTATATGATTTTGAACATCTCCCAGATTTGATTTTCCTCGCTATAAAATGGTGATGATGATGACAACAATAACAATAATAATAATGAGACCACCTATCTCAAAGAGTTCTTGAGGTTTATCAGTTATGCTTAGCAAAGTGCCTGGCACACCATAAATAGTCTCTAAGCATCAGATGTTTCAGCCAGATGAATGTTATACCTATAAGTCAAACTCTCAGGAGACGAATCCTATACATTTTCCCTGGCCTTAGGACCAAGTTCTCGAGAGTATAATCAAAATTCTAAGGGCAGAAATAGAAAGGTCAGCCTCATTACTGGTTGTCTTGTGCCTCAGTTTTCCCAGCCTACGTTGATATGTCGGGTAGTTGTACAAGCCTGTTTTCCTTTTGTTGCAATTAAAACTTCTCTCACAATTAATTTTTAAAAAGCCTTTTCTTCTGATTATAAAAGAAACACGTGTTCTCACTTTTTTAATGCTAGTGCAGAACAGTATAATTTCCCTCTGCCTTTGCTTGTTGGCCTGTGGACTGGCCTGCTGCTCTGTGCTGGGGAACTTGGCCCTGCTCCCCCACCTCGTCCACAGTGCCCACAGCCGTGCGGCTGCTCCTGTGCCAGCCGCGGAGCAGGAAGGCCACGAGGAGACCAAGGAGATGGTGTCCTCCAGAGAAGCGTGTCGTCGCCGCCTCCCCGGGGCCAAGGGCCTGTGACAGCCACTCCGATCCAAGCTGACACCCGAGAAGAGCAGCTTCTGTCAGCCCTGGGAGATCCGGTGTCACTTGTGATTAATCCTCAAAGCCAAAACCAAACAAGTTCCTGATTAAACAGTGGCATCCCAGGGTCCCCGTCACTGCCTAGTGGAGCGGTCAGTGTGGAGCCGCCGCCCGAGGCCCCCACTACAGGGACCTCAGCGGCTATCAGGACAGGTGTCCGGCCCTCCTCCTCACCCTCTCAGGGTTTGAGCCTCACCTCCCTCGCTCCTGGCCTCCGTTTCTCCGGAAGGAGAACTGGCCCTTCCCTGTAAACCCACAGCTACCGCCGGGCTCCTGGAGCGGCTGAGCTGGGTATCACAGAGGCTGCGTCGGTCACCATAAGGAACGCCCCCTTGGGGAAATTACAGAGCGTGCCATGGGGTTTTCCTGCCCAAACTCACAGTGAGCCGGGGGCTGAGGACATAATTCCCAGTGAAGGGAACTCTTCTGGGTGCAGGGACGTGGTTCGCTGCTTTTGACCTAATGAATTAGCAGGAGATTAGAACGTCTCCACTGTGCAAAGCCTTCTCTCAGAGACATGTAAAGATCCTCCATCCCAGCCACTAGTAACCCCGGGATCCTGTCTACCCTTCTCTCTATTCCCAGGGGTCTCAGGGCCTGCGGCCAGTGGCCTTCCAGGCCGGCCACGGCTGGTACAAAAGCGCTTCTCCTCCAGCAGCTCCTGGCCCTGGCCCACCGCATCACTGTCACGTGGAGAGATGCACACCTTGGGATTTTCTGGCCTTTTCTTCCAAGGCAGAATGGTTCTGTCTCTCTGACCTCCGCCCTTGCGCCAAGTCAGATGATCCTTCCTTTTACAGATCGCAGCCATCGCAGCTGCAGATCCAGAAGGAGACGGGCTCAGGGCAGGACAAGCCCCAGCCAGAAGGAGTCTGAGCCAGGCCTCGATAACAGGAGAGCAGCTGTCGTCTATTGAGCACCTGCTACATGCCAGGTACTTCACCTACGTCAGCTCCTTTATATTAAACAAACATAAAGTGAGGCCTACCTGAGGCTCAATGGGAGGGGCAGGGAGGGGAGGGTTCCAGGCAGAGGGAGGCGCAGGGAGCAGGCTCTGAAGTGAGCCAGAGTTTGGTGGAGAATCAGGGAGGCGGCCAGCATGCCTGGGATATAGTCGAGATGAGATGTGCAGGCTGGCAGGGTAAAGCATGCAGGGGCTCGAGGGTCAAGAGAAAGACTTTGAACTATATGTAACAGCAGGAGGGGCCACGCAATAAATGTTTTGAATGAATGAGGGAGGGAGGGAAGTGAGACCAGCAGCTGCCAGGCAGTCGGTCCACAGGCAGGCAGTCTCCTCACCCTGTACAATGGTGAGCAGAATGGCCCTTCCTGTGGAACCAGGCCCGGGAGCCTTGAACTTGCTTTTCCTGCCGTTTGTAGACCAGTGGTCTAGGGTTTGACTCAGGACTGGAAGCCAAACCCTGCTGAGGGTTGGGTCAGAGTTTCCGCCAGCTCCGGCTGAGACAGGGGAGGGAGGACCATCCAGCACGGTAGGCTGTTAAAATTTAGGGCTGCGGCAGCTAAGAGTGCGTTTCTGGGCCATTTGTTTTTCAAGGAAACTGGCCAGAGCTGGACACCAGCTGCTGGGTTCGTCCCAGGTGATGGGGCTGAGTCAGGCCAAGTTACAGCGAAGTGCTGGGGAAGGGAGGTACATTCAAAATTGTGTCCAAGATGGTTTTTTCTTTCGAGCTAGCTACACTATGTATAGTTTTTGCCCGTGAAATACTTCGTTTATGTGTGTCTGTGTGCGTATCTGCGAGATGAAGAACAATAAAATGCACACTCGTGTCTCCAGCTGAAGCTATATCAGTATTCCCAGCATACCGATGTCTCCCGGGTGTCCCTCCACATCACAGCCGTCATGCTGGCCTCGTGGGGGAGCCACCGTTCTGATGTTTATCAGTCCTTGCTCCTCAGGGTAGTTTTGCTGTAGATCCTGAACAGTGTAGGTTACTCATGTGTATTTGGGAAATTCATATAGACAGTCTCATATTGTATGTGCTCTTCTGTGACTTGCTTTGTGTCACCTCCCCGAGGTTCGTCCATGTGGGTGCACATAGCGTATTTCTTCTCCTTTGCACTGCTGTGGAGTATGCTATCGCTGAATACACACATTTATCCTCTCTGCTGCACCGGGACATCTCTGTGGTTCCCAGGTTTTGGATACGCGATGCTGCTGTTGAACGTCCTTGCACGTCTTCTGATGTACAGGGTGGAGTTCCTCTAGGGAGGGAAGGCTGGGCTGTGTGGTGTGTATGTTCGACCCTACTAGGTAAAGTCGGCCTGTTTTCCGATTCTGGAGTTTGTTTCAGCCACACAGATGCCTGTCGGTGCTCACTTTACTCTCTGGCCCTCGAGTGGGAACAGGTGGGCCCCGGTCACGGTTCCTCACGGCTTGGGTTGTGTGCCACGTGAACTCTAATCCTTCACCTGGCTGCTTTTATTTACCTCCCCATCTACACAGCAAACTCCTGCTCAAAATGCTACCTGCTGTCTAAGGAGAGGAACCTCAGAGGGAGCCTTAGCATCGGGGAGGTCTGGGGGAGAACCCCACTTTGTACTCGCCGTGTGGCCTTGAGCAAGTTCTTTAGGCCGTTCCTTGTCTTCGTCAGCTGGGGCCGCCATAACAAGACACCACAGACTGGGCGGCTCAAACTACAGGCATTGATTTCTCACAGTGCTGGAAGCTGGAAGTCTAAGATCAAGGTGCCAGCCCATTTGGGTTCTGGCAAGAACTCTCTGGCTTGCAGATAGCCACCTTCTTCACATGGCGGAGAGAGAGCAAGTTCTCTGGTGTCTCTCTCATAAGGGCACTTATCCCATCATGGGGATAAGTCATCCCTCATCTAATCCTAATACCTCCCAAAGGCCCCGCCTACAAATTCCTTCCCATTGGAGGTTAGAGCTTCAACATATGAATTGGGGTGCGACACAATTCAGTCCCTAAGACTTGCCTACAAAACAGGGATGATCTCATCCACCTCTCAGAGTTGCTGTGGTAATTAAAGGGGTGATTGACAGTCGGAGGTGACTGATACAGCACCCGGCACACAGGAGTGGTCCAGTACGGAGGGCACTCCCCGCTCTGCTGGCAGGCTCACTGCTGCCTCTTCACAGCCTCCTCGCCCTCCCGCGGGTGTCTGTGCAGGCGCCGTCTCTGCCACCAAACTCTGAGCACCTCAGAGGGCAGGGACTGTGTTAGAAAGATCTTTGCATCCTGTTCCTAGCATAGTGCTCAGCGCACAGTAGGCTCTCAGCACACAGTAGGTGCTCCCTCGAGTTAGCTGATGGTGAAGGGGGTGCACAGGCCCCATTACTCAGGACACTCACCTAAGTAGGCAGTTCTCATAAGTTCTCCTTACCCAGTGTGTGCTAAGCAGCTGAGTTGCACAGGGGTATTAATGATGGGTTAGATTTAAACTAGATCGAAGTTCTGTGATTTCCTTCTGTATAAGGTAGCAGGGTCCCTTTCATCTCTGTTTTGGAAAAAAGGCTCTGCCCTAGGCATTTCCTGCTTCGTGTTTTTTTTTTTTTTTTTTCCTTCTCCCTGCAGAAGCCACTGACAGGCCTGCTGAGGCGCCTGCATTGGCCACCCTGGTCCCTGGAGGAGGCATTTCTTTTGCACTGAGCACGCTGGAATTTCACACACGCCTATTGTAACCTCCTTGTTGGTGAAGGGCAATGAGAGAGACTTCCCTGGTCCATCCAGACCTGCTTGTCTTCGTGCTGACATTTAACTAATTCCTAGGCACATGCCTGTGACCCCCCCAAAAAGTGTAAGCTTCTTCACACCTGACTGTCAGCTCTCTTTTGCACTCCCTGTGCTTAGCAAATCAGTGTACTAAGTAGATGCATTTGTTAGTCAGGAGGCTTTGGGCAAGTAATAGTAAACCTAGCTTAAAATGGCTTAGGGCAAGGGGCATTTATTATCTTACATATGAAGGAGTCCAGAGGAATCCAGTGTTGGTTGATTTAGTGCCCAAGAGGTGACATCATCAGGGACCCAGGTTCTTTCCATCTCTCTGTTCTACCATCTTGAGGGTAGTTTTTGTCCTTAGGTGAGTCTTCAGGTCACAGGCTGGCTGCAGCAACCCCCAGTATCACACACACCTTCACACATTTATATCCAAAAGCTCAATGACTGTGTTCCTTCCTTGTGTTCCTGTCAAAGATCAAGGAAAAGCACAAGAATCGCACCCAGCAGACTTTCCTGTAGGTTGCACTGGCCGTAAAGGGCTTCACGTGCTTATCTTAAGCCACTGGTAGAGACCAAATGAGATCCAGTCCTTGCAGCTCGGAAGCTGCCTGGCCTCCCTGAAGCACAAGGCCACCCAATTCCTGAAAAAAACTCAGGATTCCGTAAGCAGGAAGAGTAGGAGAGAGACGTGGATAAACTACAGCAGTGTCTGCCTCATGCTCAATAAACAATTTGCTGAATCAAGTTCTTAGGATGGCGACTCTTTGAAAATAGTAAAGGGAAGTACATTTTCCTTTGTGGATGGAAATGATCGTACTGACACATTGTCAGAGTGAGCAACTGTAGGCGGCATATTTACGCTGCGCTGAACCACAGACTCTCCCCAAGTGACCCAGTAGCGATGCTCTGTGTCAGCCAAAGGGCTCGTGGAGGTCAGGACTGAAGGCTGTGAAGCACAGTTGTCCATGCAAAGTTCGTTGGATGGAATGGTGACTGAATCCTCGTTTTTAATCACTTTAAATCAGTTGTTGCTTCTAACAGCAAACAGATATTTTTACTCAAGGCTCTTTGGTTGCATGTTGCAAAAGCCCACTCAGAACAGCTCAAGTTAATGGGGAGATTATTGGAGGCCTACAGCAAGGACCAGACACCACACGTGGCTGAGGCTTACAGGGACAGGGGCTGGACGCAGGCACCCAGAGAATCGACTCCTGCCTCCTCTCACGGACCTTCAGGGTCTCTCAGTGCAGCTTCAATCAGCAGAACAGACTCCTCTGCCTGCCTCCACCTTCTCCACCTCCATAGCCTCGACCTGCTGTACCTCTGCTTTACCAGGACCCGGCTCCAGCCTCCATGGCCACCTTCTAGCTCGATTCCCCACGCCCACTCACCCGCCCCACTGTCTCTGTGGCCCGTATGAAACCCCAGCCTACAGATTGGTCCTCCTTGGAGCAGGTCAGTCAGCTGGGGCCAGGGGGTTTATTTGGTACAAACAAGGTATCAGGGCTGTGGCCTCCAGAGAGGATGTAAGTAGGAAGGCAAATATTGGAAACTGGTGTATCTATTGCTCTAGACTTGGCTTCCATCTTTGTTCATTTTCACAAGCGTGCCCCCACCTCAGATGCCAGTTGTAAGTCCCAGGGGCCACCCAGACTCTGAATGAACAGCTATAAATCGGGATTCCCACAACCCCTTCATCAAGGTCAGTAATTTGCTGGAATGACTCACAGAACTCAGGAAAACACTATATTTATTATAGTCTATTTTAAAGGATACAAATGAAAAGCCATATGAAGAGGTACATAGGGCAAGGTCTGGAAGGGTCCTGATCTCAGGAGCCTCTGTCCCCATGGAGTTGAGGTGTGCCATCCTCCCAGCACGTGCATGTACTCACAAACTTGGAAGCTCCTTGAATCCCATTGTTTAGGAACTTTTCTCAAGCCTTCATTATGTATGCATGATTGATTAAATCACTTACCATCTCCAGCCTCTCTCCCCTCCCCAGAGGTAGGTGTGGGGCTGGAAGTCATAACCTTCTAATCACTTGCTTGGTTTTTCTGGCAACCAGCCCCATCCTGAAGCTATCCAGGGGCTTCTTAGCCAAGAGTTGTCTCATTACCATACAAAAGACACTCACACTCTTATCACTCTGGAGATTCCAAGAGTTTTAGGAGCTCTGTGCCAGGAACTGGAGACAAAGACCAAATTTTTTTTATTATTACCATATGTATATATTCTGAAATTTACTTTTTTTTTTAAACAATGTGTCTTGGAATGTTTTCATGTCACTGTATCCCTTTAAAATGTTATTCCATAGCACAAAAAGATCATGGAATATATATGGGTGAATGTTTAGGTTGTTTCCATTTTTTCCTATTACAAATGGTGCTAAATGTTTAAGTAAAAAAATGGGGGGAAACTAAATATCCATCAATAAAGAAATAGATAAATTAAATAAATTTATTAATGGATAAACAAATTAAATAAATTATAGTATATTCATGCAATGGAATAATATATAAAACAGTTAAAAATGAGTAAACCAATTGAAATTCAGAGGTGGTTGGAATAGATAACAACAGGATCATCCATATACTGTCTACAGGAGAAAAACCGTAGATGCAAAGGGACAAAGAGGTTGAAAGTAAAAGGATGGAAAGATATACTATGTGAACAAGAAGGATAAAAGAGCTAGAGTGGCTAATATCAGACAAAATAGACTTAAAGTGTTACTAGAAATAAAGAAGACATTTCATAATGATAAAGGGGTCAGTCCACCAGAAAGTTATAACAGTTATAAGTATATATGCACCTAACAACAGATCCCCAAAATACAAGAAGCAAAACTGACAGAATTGAAGGGAGAAATACACAATTCAGCAATAATAGTTGGAGACTTAAATACTCTACTTTCAATAGTAGATAACAACTAGACAGAAGATCAGTAAGAAATAGAAGACTATAAACAAACTAGATCTAACAGGCATCCATAGTACACTCCACCTAACAGCAGCAGAATACATGTTCTTCTCAAGCACACAACTGGAACATTCTCCAAGATAGGTCATACTAGTCCATAAAACAAGCTTCAATAAATTTAAAAGGATTGAAATGATACAAAGCATATTTTCCAATCATAGTGAAATTAAATTAGAAATCAATAACAGAAATTTGCAAAATTCACAAATATAGGAAAATTAAACATTACATTCCTGAGAAACTGAGTCAAAGAAGAAATCACAGAAGAATGAGAAAATTTACTTTGAGATGAATGAAAATGAAAATGCAACATACCAAAACTTAAGAGATGTAGCTAAAGCAGTGCTCAGAGGGGAATTTATAGCTATAAATGCTTATATTTAAAAGGATCTCAAATCAGTAACCTAACCTTCCACCTTATGAAACTAGAAAAAAAAGAGTAAACTAAAAGAAAATCAATGAAACCAAAAGTTGGTTCTTTGAAATATCAACAAAATTGACAAACCTTTAGCTAGATCTGACCAAGATTAAAAAAAGAGAGAAGACCCAAATTACTAGAATCAGAAATAAAAGAGAAGACATTACTACCAACCTTATAGAAATGTGTTATCAAGGAATAATATGAACAATTGTTTCCAACAAATTAGATAACTTAGATGAAATGGACAAATTCCTAGAAAGACACAAACTATTGAAACTGACTCAAGAAAAACAGGAAATCTGAGCAAACCTGTAAAAAGTAAAGAATTAGCAGTCAAAAACCTCCCACAAAGAAAAGGCCAGGCCCAGATGTCTTCACTGGTGAAGTCTACCAAAGAATAGAAAGAAGACCCATGTTCATGGGTCATAAGACAATATTGTTAGATAGTGATACTCTCCAAATTGATCTACATATTTAACGGATTCACTATCAAAATCCAGCTACCTTTTTTTTGTAGATATTGACACACTGATCCTTAAATTCATATGGAATTACAAGGGGTTATGAATAGCCAAAACAATGTTAAAAAGGAAGAACAAGGTTGAAGGACTCATACTTCCCAATTTCAAAACTTACTACAAATCGACAGTAATGAAGACAGTGTGGTACTGGCTTAAGTATACACATATAGATCAATGGAATAGAATTGAGAGTCCAGAAATAAACACTTACATTTATGGTCAATTGATTTTTGACAAAGGTGCCAAGACCATTCATTGGGGAAAGAAGAATCTTTTCAACAAATTGTGCTGGGACTACTAAATATCCACACGTGAAAGAACACAGTTGGACCCTTACCTCACACCATACACAAAAATTAACTCAAATGCATCATAGGCCTAAATGTAAGAGCTAAAAGTATAAAAGTCTTAGAAAAAAATAGAAGTAAATCTTCATAACCTTGAGTTAGGCAGTGGCTTTTTAGATAAACACAAAAAGCACAAGTGAAAATAGGAAAAATAAATAAATTGGACCACATCAAAACTAAAAACTTTTGTGCGATAAATAATACCTTTATGAAAGTGAAACGATAACTGACAGAATGGGAGAAAATGTTTGCAAATCATTTATCTGATAAGGGACTTGTATCCAGAACACATAGAGAATTCCTACCACTCAATAATAAAGACAAACCACCCGAATGAAAAATGAGCAAAGGATTTGAATAGACATTTCTCAATACACAAATGGCCGATATGCACATGAAAAGATGCTCAGCATCATTAGTCATTAGAGAAATAAATAATCAAAACCACAGTAAGATACCACTTCCCATCCAGTCAGGTGGCTATAATAAAAAAAGATGGACAGTCACAAGTGTTGACAAGGATGTGGATAAATTAGAACCCTCAGGCATTACTAGCAGGAATGTAAAATGGTGCTGCCACTTTGGGAAACAGTTCGTCAGTTCCTCAAAATGTTAAACGTAGACTTACCATATGGCTCAGTAATTCCACTCCATATCTGCCCAAAGGAAATAAAAACATATGTCTACACAAATACTTGTACATGACTCTTCATAGCAGCATAAGTCATAATAGCCAAAAACTAGAAACAACCCAGATGTCCATCAATGGATAGTTAACAAGATGTGGTAAGTCCATACAATGAAAAATTATTCATCAATAAAAAGAAATAAAGTACTGAAACATGCTATAACATGGATGAATCTTGAAAACATCCTAAGTGAAAGAAGACAGTCACAAAAGACCACATGTTGTATAATTCCATGTATATGAAATGTCCAGAATCAGTAAACCCATAGAAACAGAAAGTGGAGTAATGGTTTCCTTTGGCTGGACAGACAAGTATTGGAGGGAATGGGGAGTGACTACTAAAGGATATGGAGTTTCTTTAGGGGGAGATGAAAATGTTCTAAAGTTAATTGCAGTGATAGTTGGCCAACTCTGTGAATATACTAAAAACCGTTGAATTGTACCTTTTTTTTTTTTTTTTGTGAGGAAGATCAGCCCTGAGCTAACATCCATGCCGATCATCCTCTTTTTGCTGAGGAAGACTGGCCCTGAGCTAACATCCATGCCGATCTTCCTCCACTTTTATGTGGGACGCCGCCACAGCATGGCCTGACAAGCGGTGCGTCGGTGCACGCCCGGGATCCGAACCGGGGCCGCCAGCAGCGGAGCGCACGCACTTAACCGCTACGCCACGGGGCCGGCCCCCGAATTGTACACTTTTTAAAGGTGAATTTCACGGTCCATGAATTATATCTCAATAAAGCTGTTTTTAAAAAATGAATGAATTAGATCTATATGTATCAACCTAGGTAAACCTCAAAAAATGTAGAGAGAAAAAAGCAAGTTGAAAAAGAAAACAAGGAAGCATACAGTATGATGCCTTTTCTGTGAAATTGTAAAACAAAAAGCAATAGGATATGTTGTTTTGGGAAAGATAAATTCTTAGTAAGATATACAAACTTGGATGGAAAGGATATACTCCAACTACAAAATTTTCCTTCTCTCTCTTTAAATAATCTTTTAAACATTTTGTGGCTTATCCATCCATTGTTTATGTTTAGTATATAAAGAAATATATATCTATATTCATATCCCTATATTCATATCCTTTCTGAAATAAAAGGTAAAATATCATATGTACTTTTCTCTACTTTTTTTAACTTCACAATATATTCTAGAGATAACTCTAAAGGTGTTTATCCAGCTACTCCAGTGAGGCTCTTTTATTAACCTTGTTGGGGTTTATGTCTAAAAGGAGGAGAGCCAGAGATGGATGACTATATGGAGACGCTGAAGGATGAGGAGGATGCCTTGTGGGAGAATGTGGAGTGCAACCGGCACATGCTAAGTCGCTACATCAACCCAGCCAAGCTCACCCCCTACCTGCGCCAGTGTAAGGTCATTGATGAGCAAGATGAAGATGAAGTGCTTAGTGCTCCCATGCTGCCATCCAAGATCAACCGGGCAGGTAACCTTAGGAACCAGTTTGGAGCAAAGGGTGGGCTACCTCTTGTGGAAGCTTCAGGAAATACCCTTCTAACTGAAGCTGTACCAAAGTAAAGTTTCTCTAGGTCAGGAGTTTTTTAACTGGGGTCCATAGATCTCTGCCCATCCCGCGTCCCACCGGGCTGTCTACGTATAGAACTGAGAGGGTCCATAAACTTAGATGGGAGCAAATTATGTATTTATTTTACTAACCTAAACTGAGATTTAGCATTCCTTTTGATTGTGAATGTAAGTAGGCAACAAATCACAGTAGTGATTAGCAATACCTGTGACTCTGTCAACGATAAAAATTACAGATATCTTCATATCACATTACAGCTGTTACAGATCTCTCCAAATATCATTTATACTCATTTCTCCCTCAAAATCACAGTGGTTATTAGAACTGCCAAGAGATCTTGTTATTTAAGGCATTAATAAAGAAGCACACTTATTACTGAATCACAAATTTAATATTTGATAACTGTATTTTATTTTGATTTCCTCTGTAATCCAATGAATTTTATCTGTTTAAAAATATTATTCTGAGAAGGGGGTCCATGGGCGTTCCCAGACTGCCTAGAGGTCCATGACACTTCATCGCCTTCATTAGAGCTAATCAGTATGGTTTGTGACAATTGTTTTGGTTTTATATATGTATGTGTGTGTATGCACATATATATGTTATATCTTTGTCATTGTGTATGGTCATGAGGTCACAATGTAAAATACATGTCTTTTTGTGGTTCACAGTTAAAAGGTTTGAAAATCACTGTCCCCCAGTATGACTGGTGATAAGCGGCTCATCTGCTGTGACTCGCTTGCACACATGACAGACATCACTAATCACAGCATGCTTTCCAACTGAGCATGGATGTTGCTCTAGAATCCTTGTCAACACACTGCTCCAGGCAGCTTCACCAAACACGGATGACACAAGATGAAACCTATTTATTATGTCTATCCTAGGGAAGAGGTAGTTTTAGGACGTCAAGGGAAGAAACCTCTCAAAATAAAATGTGTAAGAAAGGGCCTAGAAATGTAAACAATAAGTGGAACCAGTAGGATAGAAAGTGAAAACTGCTGAGCAAATTACATTTAGGTTATAGATGTTTCCAGACTATACGATAATCCCAAAGAAGAACGTGGAGCTCTGCCTGCTTCCTATGACTTTTCCTAGCTCCCCACCCAAATATTTGTCTTCCTGCTCTGAATCTCAGGGAACCATATATTATTCTGTAATTACTATTGTATTTCCAACCTCCTTCAATCACAGAAGAGCTGGTGCCTGTATGGTTAATTTTAGCCCTGGTCAGTTGGGAAACTCTTTGAAACTGTTGGTTTCCCATGGCTGCAATGCCGTTTATCCTGGTTCTACCAATTTCTTAGAGAAAGGAAACTAACACCCACTGAACCCCTGCTGAGGACCTGGCACTTTGACTTACATTGTTTGGACTCCAAGATACAATTCAGGAGCGACAGAATGTGGTGAAACTGTCTTCTCCGAGTTTTTGTTTTTGTTTTTGTTTTTTTGTGTGTGAGGAAGATCAGCCCTGAGCTAACATCCGATGCTAATCTTCCTCTTTTTTGCTGAGGAAGATCGGCCCTGGGCTAACATCCGTGCCCATCCTCCTCCACTTTATCTGGGATGCCGCCACAGCACGGCCTGACAAGCAGTGCGTCGGTGCACGCCCGGGATCCGAACCCCAGCCGCCAGCAGCAGAGCGCACGCACTTAACCGCTACGCCATGGGGCTGGCCCCTTCTTCGAGTTTTTTGAGGGATATGAGTCCAGGATAAGGCTGGACAGGGAGATCTGCATCCAGTCACATACGTACTCTTCTTCTCACTGTGTGCTGTGGCCTGTCCCCTAGGCCGATTGTTGGACATTCTACATACCAAGGGGCAAAGGGGCTATGTGGTCTTCTTGGAGAGCCTGGAATTTTACTACCCAGAATTGTACAAACTGGTGACTGGGAAGGAGCCCACCCGGAGATTCTCCACCATTGTGGGTAAGTGGCTTTGCCATCAGGAGCATTTGGATTCTAGTAGGAGGTGTGTGTGTGTCTGTGTGTGTGTGTGTCCAGTGGTGGGACAGTTCTGAAGCTATGAATCTGTGACATTAGGACAGTGTCCCTGTGGCACTTGTGGGCTGTCAACCACTTATTTCTGCCTGATGATGAAAGGTAGATGACAGAGGGGCAAACAGAAGCAGGATCCAAGAGAAGTGGGTGTTCGTGGAACATCTCCCATGAATGTTGGTAGGGTGGAACAGAAATTCATACTACCCTCTGGATCTTGTCCTTGCCTTGTCTACTCTCTTGCCATATCCCATGAGCCAGAGCCCTTGGTCATCATGTCTTCTTAATTTTCCTTCCTAAATATTCTTGAATCATTCGTCTCTCCATCTCCATCACTACCCTAGTCCAGACCCCTACAACCCCATCTACTCTCTACATCCATTCCTGCTCTGATCCAATGCTTTCTCTACTCCTCAGGTAACCCTCCCCTGCTTAAAACCTTTCAGTGGTTTTCCACTGCTTCCATCTAAAGACCTGGGTCTTTAATGCTGCCCACAAGGACCCTACATGGTCCAGCCCCTGCTGACACTCCCCCTCTCTGGGCTCCAGGCACTCTGGGTCTTCCTTCAGTTCCTGAAATATGCCAACTTCCTCCCTCCTCCCCATAGGGCTTTGGCAATGTTGCTCCTAGAACGTGTTTTCTCTCCTTAAATTAACATTTCAGCTCAACCATCAGGAGCCTTTTGCCCACCAGGCTGGATCTGGTCCCCCTGTTACACACTCTCATAGCCCCCTATACCTTTACTTTGTGAAATCCTCTCGATCTGTAGTTATATTTGTGTGTGATCATTTGCTTTTTCAATGTCTGTCTCCCTTACCAGACCGTAAGCTCTACCCGGACCAAGGCTGTTTTGCTCACCCTGAATCCCCAGTGCCTAATGGGTAGTAAGAGCTCAGTAAAATGTTGGTGAGTGAGTGAGTGAACGAATGACACCTGCCCGTGTCCGGAACCCCCCTTCCCCTCGGCAGTCCTCAGGCCTGACTGGGTGCCCCCTCTCCACAGTGGAGGAGGGCCACGAGGGCCTCACGCACTTCCTGATGAACGAGGTCATCAAGCTGCAGCAGCAGATGAAGGCCAAGGACCTGCAGCGCTGCGAGCTGCTGGCCAAGTCGCGACAGCTGGAGGATGAGAAGAAGCAGCTGATGCTGATTCGGGTGGAGCTGCAGACCTTCCAGGACCGGTACTACAAGATGAAGGACGAGCGGGACAGCTACAACGACGAGCTGGTCAAGGTGAAGGACGACAACTACAACCTGGCCATGCGCTACGCCCAGCTCAGCGAAGAAAAGAACATGGCGGTCATGAGGAGCAGAGACCTCCAGCTCGAGGTGAGGGGCACAGCGCGGGTTACTGGGCCAAGCTGAGCGAGAGGGAAGTGAAGGCCAGCGGGTCACAAGACCACCACGTGGTCAAATGCAGAGGGTCGCACCCAGCTAGGTGAGGGGGAATGGAGGACACGGGTTCTGTGTCCTAGATACACTGTGTGCATGCCCACGCCAACCCAGTGAGGCTTAGCGCTAAGGTTTAGCCCCTCCCCCATCCACTATGCGCATGTGTGCACACGAGCACATGGACCCAGTGGAGCTTCATGTCACCGGCTCAGGACCCAGATCCACCATGCGCATGTGCACATTTCTGCATACAGACCAAGTGGGCCTTTCCTCCTGTTCAGGAGCCCAGGTCCACTATGCACATATGTAGACTTTTGCACACGGATCCAGTGGGGCTTCCGTCCTCTTCAGGAGCGTTCATCCACCATGCGCACGTGTAGGCATGTGCACCTGGACCCAGTGGGCTTTCTTCCTCATCAGGAGCCCTGATCCACCATGCGGGTGTGTGGATGTGCACACAGAGGCACTGCACCCGTGGGTGAGAGGGAGGGTAGAGGGCCTGGGGGCCTAGCCTGTGGCTCTCAGGAAAATCAGCGAGGTGATGGGCACAGTACTTGTTCTGTAGAGGCACGAGGTCTTTGAGGCCAGGACTCTGCCCTTCCCAGCTGTGTCCACAGAGCTCAGCATGGCACAGTGGCATAGTCAATACACTTATCCAGGAACAATCCACCAGCCAACGATGGACGTCATTAATGAGTTTACTTCCAAAATGGAGAAAGGGAAGGAAGTTTGCTTTAACTCACTCATTCTTTTTTTTTTTATGGAGCACCACCATGCACCAGGCTCTTTTCCAGGGATGCTTAACTCAGGACCAAGGCCCTGCTGTCATGGGGCTCACCTTCCAATCAGAAAACAAATACGTATATACCTGGTAGTAATGAGTGCCATTTAGAAGAGAAAAAAGAGTATTAGCGTAGTGAGCAAAGGATGCGATTTTAAATAGGATGGTCAGGAAAGGTCCCTGAGAAGGAAACACATGAGCAGAGACCTGAAGAAAGGGAGGGAGCCAACCATGCAGGTCTCAGGGGAAGAGCAAAGATGGAATGCAAAGGCCCCGAGTAGGAGCATGCTCGGTGTTTTTGAGAACCAGCAAGAGAGCCAGTGGGGCTGGAGCCAAATGAGCAAGTGACACAAAAGGAGGTGGGAGAGATGGCCAGAGTCCAGATCATGGGGGTTGGTAAGAACTTGGGAATTTATTCCGGTTGTGATGGGAAGTCACTGAAGGATTGAGAGCTGGGGAGTGACAACTGATTTATATCTAGAAGGATCACTCTGGCTGCTGGGTAGAAAATAGACTCTCAGAATATTTATTAAGCACCTGCCATGTGTAAGGCACTGTGCTAAGCACTGTGGGGGACACAAGGATAAATAACCTGATTTCTGCTCAGGTCACTTACAATTTAGTTGAAGCAGACAGATCAGTAAACAACCCACTGGAATTCGGGGGAATTGAGTCAGTGGCATAGCCAGTAGTAGAGTGTTTCTGTTAAGAGTGTGAGCTTTTAAATCCTATACATTTGGTTCGAATCTGGCTTCCGGCTTTACCACTTAGTTGGCTCTTGGTCTCAGTTTCCTCATTTGTAAATGGTAATAATGAAAATAACACCTGCGCCCTAGGATTGCTGAGATACTGCAATGTGAGCCTTTGGCAAAGTGGCTGACCCAGTAAGCACCCCACAGTGCTAGCACTTCATGCCCACTTGGATGGGCCTGGGGATCTGGACCCAGCACAGGGCACTTGGGCTGATCTTCCGAGATGCCAAGGAGGATTTTTTCTGCATGACCAGAAGGAGCCGTTTCTGTGCTATTTTACTTCTGATTTGGAGAAATTAACCTGTGGCTTACAAGTTTCTCTCCTAGAACTTTGTCCTGTATTATGTTTCCTTGGAAATATATTAATAGTGAGACAATGTGTCTAGAACTTGAAAGAACGTCTGGCCAGCTGGGACCCTAGGTCATTTCTCAGCCCTAGGCTGCTTCCCTCAGGTCTCTTTCTTCCTTCCCTCAGGCCATGGGGTGCAGCCACAGTCCTTTCCCTGCTAAAGCCACCACCCTCTACCTGCCAGGTATCTTGTGACCGTTCTCCCCATAAGCCTAGAATTGGAAAAGGACACTCAGCCCTTTGGTGCCTTCTGTACTTGAAGCCCTTGGGAGCAACCTTCTTGTTTGGGTGTTTTACCAAGGCCGATCAGTTTGGGGAAGCAGACGCGCTTAGTCACGAAGGTTTAAGAAGTCTCCTCCTGGTCCCGGTTCCTGACACTCACCTCGTGGGGGTGAAGCCCAGCGCATCTCCAGTGTCCCATTTCCAGATGTAGTAACTGCCTCCTGCAGGCAGTCACTCTTCGTCATACTACGTCTGGGCGGGTCCTTGAGGCCAGAGATCTCTTGAAGCTGTGGTCCAGTGAGTCTCAAGCTGTTCTTTCAGCAGCAGTGCCATTTGTTCAAATGAAATCTTGTGTGAGACCCAAGAGGACAAGACCTGTGCAAGCAGAGCTGCTCTGGCAGATGAAGTCAGCGTGGGGCCCAGGGCCCTGACTTCTTGCTGGTCTCTGGGCTCCCTTCAATAACACTGGGGGTCTTCAGGGCAATCCTTGAGTTCAGAGGATCAGAGTTTGAAACCCAACATAAAAAGGCATTGAAATGGATAACATACCTCAGGGGAACTAGCTTGGATATCTTTTATCCTAATCCGCAACCTGTTCCACCCCACGGGAATTTTCTAAGGGACATACAGCGCCTTTAAAACTATTCTAAGTGGACAAATAAAGCACTCTTCATCAATAAGGTGATGGTGGTTTGTTTTACTGGGAAAGTTTCCTTTGAGCCCTTCTCTGTCGCCAACCAGAAGGAGAGGGGGGCTGCATAACACAGGTCATGCTGGAAGTTCTTTAGGACTCGGGGAAGCATTGCCTTCTCTGAGTGTTTCCTGCCAACTACATTGTCCCCTCGGCACCCTTGGGGTGTTTCAGATTGATCAGCTAAAGCATCGGTTGAATAAGATGGAGGAGGAATGCAAGCTGGAGCGGAATCAGTCGCTGAAACTGAAGAACGACATCGAGAATCGGCCCAAGAAGGAGCAGGTTCTGGAACTGGAGCGGGAGAATGAGATGCTGAAGACCAAAATCCAGGAGCTGCAGTCCATCATACAGGTGAGGGCGGGGGCGGGGAGGGGGCAGAGGGAGGGCAGTGTGGGCAGAGGGAGGATGAGAGTCTGGGGGACCAACACGTCTGCCTGGGTGTGAATCCCAGGGCCGCCACTTGCTGAGTGCAGGACACCGGTGATTCAGGTCATCCTTGCGTGCCTTAGTTTCCTCCTGTGTAAAGTGGGGTGATCACGCCACCCACTTCTCAGAGACATGACATCATGTGAGAGAGTACTTGTGACAGTGTTTCCTTAATTGAAGCACTCAGTGAAAATCGCCATTCACATGGAAATCAGTGCCCCGGGCACTGTGAGAAAAGTACATCCGGGAAACCTACTTGCCCTTAAAGATTCCAAGAAACTCAACTCTCAGCTCTGTGATTTGTTAAAACTTCAAATGCCTCTCCACGTTTGTCATCACAGAATCATTTGTGGGGATGGAGGAGGAAGTCACTGAGGCATAACATCCCAAAATACATCGACGGGGAAAATTAAGAAAGCATCCCTCCCCTTCCCCCTGAATCATTCCTCCCAGGACTGGCTGCCTGGTGTCTAAGGCTCTGATTCGGAGCTGAGGATGAATCCCGGTTTAATCGGGGCAGATTAATTGATATTTCAGGGGAAGCATCTGCAAGGCAGATCAGCCCTCTCTTTGTTGTCACCGATGAAGTGTTTAGAGGAGCAGCAACTGCTTCTCTCGCCTCTGATAAGAGCCAGCGCCGAACAATAGGTATCAGATGCTCCCGAGTAGAAGTGGGTTTTATGCTTCCTTTCAGGTGATAAAATTCTTAAACACTAAGCTGCATAAGGACCCCAAAAGACAGCGACTCTTGCCTCTGCATCCCTAGCACAAAACCGTCTGCTCCTGGCGGTTTTGTCCCCCGCCTTCTGGGTCCACTGTGCTCCCTGGCCCCCCACCCCCCAGCAACCTTAAACCTTCCTACCTGCCTACCCAGGCCGGAAAGCGCAGCCTGCCAGACTCGGACAAGGCCATCCTGGACATCCTGGAGCATGACCGCAAGGAGGCCCTGGAGGACCGACAGGAGCTTGTCAACAAGATCTACAACCTGCAGGAGGAGGTCCGCCAGGCAGAGGAGCTGCGGGACAAGGTGGGAGTCCCACGGGTGGTGGGGACAGCATCGACCCAGCTGGTGCCCTGGCTGGCCTCCTTCTCACCAGGGACCTCCCTGGTGGGAGGAGCGGGACCTCTAAAACCCCATGCTCTCTTCTAGAGACTAGGTCTGACCCCTGGTATAAATTCCCTGTGCATGCCAGTGTCAGTACCTTTGTGGTTATTTGTGAGTTATTGTAAGTCTTAGCATAGCACCTGTCTTCCCCTCCTGACTGAAGGCCACAGTAGGGCACACAAGCTATCTGTACTGTCCCGCACTACATGCCCTGGCACATGATAGGTCCACAGCAAATCTCAGTGGATTGACTGGCCTACTCCCGTGGTCCTTGCTATTCAGAAAGCTGACTCGCAGAAGAACAGGTGATGTGGGGAGGGCCAGGCCATCTCCAGCCAGCCAGCCAGGAGGACAGCACAGCTAGAAAACAGCTGTCAGCCCCGACCTGCTGATTGCTTAATGCACGTATCGATTTCTCCCTGTCTCCCGCAGTACCTGGAGGAGAAGGAAGACCTGGAGCTGAAGTGCTCCACCCTGGGGAAGGACTGCGAAATGTACAAGCACCGCATGAACACAGTCATGCTGCAGCTGGAGGAGGTGGAGCGGGAGCGGGACCAGGTGCGGGCTTGCCTAGGACAGCTGATGCTGTGGGACTGCCAGACTGCACAGCAGGGCCCCCGCCCCAAGCCACTAGGGTCTGTCAGGATGTTTCACCCAGTGTAATGTCATTAACTATGCAGGAATTACTTATGAATCCATCTTTCCTATTTCCATTCCAAAAATGAATTCCATCCCAAAAGGCTTTTGGAATTCGCAGACGTGAATATCGTGGGGGCAGGCACTGGACTCCGGCCACTCGTACCACAGAATATAGTCCTTAAATGCCTGGTCTCTAGAGGAAAACAGCCAGGTTCAGGCCCTGCTGCTCATCAGGTGTGTGACTGCAGGCAAGCTTCCCCCTGGAAGCCTCAGTGCCCTCATCTGTGAAACAGGAATAATAATAACAACACTGCCTCATAGGGGCGGGGAGTAGACTCAAAGAGTTACTGCATCAGAGTTCTTAGTACAGTGTCTGGCTTGTAGCAAGGGCTGGATAAACGGCGTCTGTGATACATATGTGATATGTATTATTGAGGAAGGTAGTGATTGGGGTCAAGAAAAGAGCAGGAGACAATGTGGCTGACATCTGGGCTGGGAAGATGGTTTACTAGCTAGAGACCATGTCTGTCTAGTTTGGTCGGAGTGAAAAAGCAAAGTGTCCTGTCCTCCTCCCTGGCAGGCCTTCCATTCCCGGGACGCAGCGCAGTCTCAGTACTCACAGTGCTTAGTCGAAAAGGATAAGTATAGGAAACAGATCCGCGAGCTGGAGGAGAAGAATGACGAGATGAGGATTGAGATGGTCCGGCGGGAGGCCTGCATCGTCAACCTGGAGAGCAAGCTCCGGCGCCTCTCCAAGGACAGCGGCAGCCTTGACCAGGTGGGACTGGGCTGGGCGCGTCCCCGACACCTGAAGCGAGGTGCCTCCCAACACCAGCCGGTGGCCAAGCAGAGTCACTGCCTCCCATGCAGAAGTATAACCTTCCCTACCACGCCCAGAATAATCCATGTCTTTGAACCTTCTGTGTGTCTGTGTCGTGTGAAGTAGAAACTATTGGTTTTGAAGTTAGAAAATGCAGGATAAAACCCTAGCTTGGCCACTTGCTAGCTGAGTGTCTCAGACAAGTCACTTCCCTCTTAGGACTTCAGCTGCCTCTCGGGTGACCTGTATTGGGGTTCCCACCACCATCTGGGCAGTCGCTGGGTTTAAGATGCCCTGTTCCTGTTAAAGTCAGTAGTGCCTATGAGGAAACTGTCATTTATAGACGGTATGAAGTTCAGAGTGCGTGCCACAGCAGGGCCCTGGGCATTCAGAAATGACCGAATGCTGCCATCAAAGCCAACGACACTATCCTTGCTGTAGCTGTGGGTTTGAGTGCTGTCCTGTGCAGGTAGCCTGCACAGGGCCTTCTGTGCGGGATCTCATTTAACCCACAGAACTGTCCTGCTGGGAAGGGACGATGACTGGCCTCATTTACCGAGGAAGGAGCCCAGACACAAGCAGCTGAGGAACTTGCCTGGGGTCACGACCACTAGTCAGTGGCCTGGGGAAACCCAGACAAGCCCCGCCCCCTCCCCTCAGAGCACTCAAACCTAGCACGAGAGGCCAATCCAGGAACATGACATTTCAACACAGTGTTGTAAACTACAAGTCAAAGGGGTGCTGTGGGAGCTCAGGGGAGGAGGCCTCCAGTCCATTGGGGTTTCTGGAAAGACCTCCTATAGGAGAAGCCCTGGATTGCCTCAGGACCTCCCCTTGGAATGCCGTGCCCCTGACTTCACCTGGCCAAGTTCTGCCCCCCTTCTGGCCTCAGCTGAAGTGTTACTTCCTCGGCGAGGCCTTCGCTGGCCCGCATAATGGAAACCAGGAGCCTCTGTGTTATGCTCTCAACCTTTCAAGCATTTCCCACAGTCTGTGATCACGCAGAAGCTCTGTGAAGGTCCCTCTGTTTGTCTGGCACCTGGCACGGTGCCAGGCACAGGGCAGCCCCTCGGAGAATATTTGCTGAATAAATGAATGAAAGCTGTTAATGGCACCTAGTTAGGAGAGGAAAAATGGGGCTGGTATTCCAGGCCACGGGGACAACATGAGCAAATGACACACAGAGCACGCTGTCGGCAGACCACATTGGCAGTTCTGTCATCCGTAGGCTGGGAGGCAGGGACAGACAGGAGATGCGGCTGGAGAGGTCAGCAGGAGGTAGCAGAGGCCTTGTAGGCTCAGGACCTTTGTCGTTAGTTACTCTGGGACCTTGAAGGATTCTGTGCAGGGAAGTAAGGCAGATGGCTTTGGGTCTGGAGGCAGTGTAGCATGAGGGTGTTGTGTGGCTTTGGGGGGGTCAACCAGAAGTTACTTAGTGCCCCTGCACCTCAGCTTCACACAATGATCTAAAGCACTTAGGACAGCCCCAGACATTGTTTTTATCATTATCCTGTCGTTCAGCAATATTTTTTATCTTTGTAGCTTAGGCACAGGGCTGGAAATTGGGAATATGATGGTGACATATCAGATCTAGGGGACCAAGACCAACTAGGAGGCAATCCCTTTACTATTGTAAAAGGAGACGAGGGCCTGCCCCAGACCCTTGGCAGGAGGGAGATGAGGCGGGAGGTTCGTGAGGAGGAGAGAGAGTTGGGTTGGAATGATAAGGCTAGGCATCCGGTGGATGCAGGGGTCAGGATCGAAGAGCAGGCCATCCTGAGTTTCAAGCTTGTGTGCCCCACACAAGGATGGCGCCGTTAGCAGAGCTGTTTCACTGACTGTGGCTGCTCCTCATGCCCCATCACTGGCACTGTCTTCTCTTTGTCTCCAGAGTCTGCCGAGGAACCTGCCAGTGACCATCATCTCTCAGAACTTTGGGGACGCCAGCCCCAGGACCAACGGTCAGGAAGCTGACGATTCTTCAACCTCAGAGGAGTCACCGGAAGACAGCAGATACTTCCTGCCCTACCACCCCCCCAAGCGCAGGATGAATCTGAAGGGCATTCAGGTACCAGCACGCGGAGGGGCCGAGCCTCGTGTGCCATTGTCAGGCCATTGCGGGCTCGGGGCCGGGGAGCTGGGAGCCCCCTCCAGGCAGGCGAGGACGCAGCGTGGCCACCTGTGGTTCTGGTGCGGGTCTCAGACCCCAGATGTGACTCGACCTACTTCAGTCCTAGAAATGGGAGTTGTGCCAGCTCGTGCTTTTGGCTTTTTACCATTTCTCTCATCTCGTATAATTGTAGCAGAAGTTAAGAAGAGAGAGAGAATGAAGTAAGCATTATTTCCAAATTCATTTGTTTATTCAACAAATAGGTATTGAGTACCTATCATGAGTTCACTGGTGTTAGTGGTTGGTGATGGGCACCATTTGGGGAGCTGGAGTTACAGCACTAATCCCCTCTGCTCTGCTCAATATCTAGTGCATTTCATGGTACACAGCTGACCCTCCATGAGGAATGAATGAGTGAGTGAATGAATGAGACGATCTCACATGAGAGGGGCCGTGACCAGCAGGGCCTGACAGTGCCTCTGCGCACTCCCCGCTGCCCCCCTGGTCCCACCTCAACCCCCTGCCCCCGCACACGTGGAGCCCAAAGGCCTAGGGCAGCACATTGGAGGCCAGCCAGGGAACTGCTGGTGCCTCGTGCTGAGGGTGGCCAGGCAGCTGCCTGAAAGCCTCATCCTTTCCTGAAAATCCCCCTGCATTGTATACCAGCTCTGCTCAGCCTCCTACTCCCGCTCACTCCTTCCTCCTCTGCCACTCTCGGCCCTTGTACCGTCTGAGCCACACGGCATCCCCCGGGGGAGAGCTTGTCTGTACCGGCCGCTGCCTGCATGCCCGGGGGATACAGGCATCCTGTGCCTTCTGTGATCCAGCGGCCACGTGACCAGGGGCAACACAGGCTCACCTCAATTTATTTTTCCCTTCACTCTGGTGACATGTGTCCCAGGCCTTGTTTGATTTGTGTCCTCTGTCTTCTCTGCTCCCCTCCCCTCTCGTTCAGCTGCAGAGAGCCAAATCCCCCATCAGCCTGAAGCGAACATCAGATTTTCAAGGTTAGTGAGACGCCCGGATCCCTCCCCTGTCTGTCACTCTGACTCTCTTAGTCCATCTATTTCTCCCATTGTGGCCATCAATCCTGCAAAGTAAACCTGGACTAGGCCTCAGGGACCCCTGGGTGGCGGGGCATCCAGATAGTAATTAATGTCCATTGTCATCGGAGAGGGCAGGAGCCCTGACCACGGAAACCTCACGACTGTGGTTCCTCCGCCACGGCCCCTCCCTGTGAGTCCGTCCAGAGTCCCTGATACTGCAGCTGAACTTCAAGTTTCTGCTCATGGCTTGTCAACTGGAGGACTGCTCAATCTTCCTCCCAGACTCTAGGCTGGGCGGTCCGGGCGTGTGAGGCTGCCGGTTCACCCACCAGTCCACCCGTGAGCCCCAGGCTCTCCAATACACACTGTCCTCACCATGACTCTGGAAGTGACAATGGCCAGCGAGGGTTTGCCCAGGTGAATCAGGCACCTGCTGTGTGCCGGGTGCCAACAGGTCCAAGTAGATGCTTCCAGGGGCTGTGTACTCAGGCAGGGCCGTCACTGAGGCAGTGGAAAGTGGTGTTGGACACCTGAGAGAGAGTGGTTGGAGGAAGGATGGAGATGGCTGGAGAAGGATGGAGAAGGAACGTCAGGAAGGGGACGTTTAGACTGCGCCTGGAAAAGGGAAACTTTTGGCCAATGGACACGGTCTCCGGAAGGGCATCCAGGACAGAGCAGGGAGCAGAGACAGGGCGAGGCGCTGGGGGCAGGGATGTGCAACATGTGGTTCATCCCTCAAGGTGGCCACAGGTGCATGCACGCACAGCAAGGCGTGGGGACAAGGATGGGAAAGCTGACTGCTCCTCTGCAGCAAGATGAGGGCCGAGAGAAGTGTGCATGAAGCCCCAGCCTGCCCCTGAAGGAGCAGGAGGGGCGCCAGGGTCTTCACTGAGGAGGCGACAAACCCTTCTCCCAGTTGGCCCCAGTCCCTGGGTCGGCCAGCCCATTTAGTAGGGACGATGGGGTCTGTTTTGAGGATGGCGTAATTGGCAGGGACAGTCCCTCTCCATGAGAGATATATCCTCCCGGTTCCTGCTGTTCCACAGAGTGTGCTAGCTGGGGACGCCACCTGGGTCCTCAGAGACAAATGACATCGTCCAGCCTGACTGAGGCCGCCCTGGGCCTGGCCCTGGGTGAAGGCAGGGACGAGCTGGTGAACAAGACCAGGCTCTCCTCCAGGACCCTAGAGTCAGCTGGGGAAATGAGAGCAAGGAAGCCCCCATGGGAGAGAGAACATGCCAGCCAGACAAGACAGCTCCCATGTGCTCAGTGCCTGCAGGGGTCTCAATTCCCTTTTCCCTCCCCTCCCCTCTCTCCTCCTGCCCGGTCTCGATGAGGACAGGGAGGGGACTTGAAGAAGAAGGCATGGACATCAGCCCCAGCTCCTCCAGATCCCTGCCCATCACCAGCTCGTTCCCCAAGATGGTAAGCCGTGGGCCCCACCGCCGCTTCCCCTTCCAGCTCAGGCCCCCGGCTTCGTCTGCCTCGGCACCCAGCCCCCCTCGCTGCCCTCTCCAAGCCGGGCCTGTGAGCAGCATTACTCCCCTTCTGGGGCTGCAGCCCAGGCCCTCCTTATGTTTATTTAAAGATGTTTCCACAGCCTCACGATGTATTTACACCTTCTTGCCGCCTCCTCTCCCAATTTAACACTTGGTGGGAGAAAGAGATGGGCCTCCGAGGGGCTGTAGCGAATTGCACAGGCAGATGAAAAATCTGCTGCAACTCCTCAGCCCCTGGCAACTCCAGCAGCCTGGGGAGGTGGGTGGCTGGGGGCCGCAAGCAGCTGGAGCTGCCAACGCTGCACAGCAAAGGCTCAGTGCCCCCTCCCCCGGCCCAGCGCCCCCCACACCTTGGCTCCAGCACACCTGGGCAGGTCCGGGCAGGGTCCCAGCCACCAGATCCAGTGTCACTCCCCCCAGCCAGGCAGCAGAAGGTGTGGGATTAGATATTCTAACCCCGAGGGGAAGCCCTGGGAAGCTTGTCGGCTCAGCTTCCGAAATCAGGCCCTGGGGAGGCAGAGATGTGATAAGGAATGACTCCTGTCTGATCGCAGCTCTGGGGGCGAAATCCAGGCCTCTCATTGAAGGCAGCCCTTGCCAGGAGCCAGCAGGCCTTGTTTCAGAGGGTCACCCTCTAGCAGCCATGCTGTCCAGGGGGCATCCGTTGCCCCCACCACCCCAGGCCTGCAGGTCTTCCTCTCATCCAGAACTGGTGCCTAAGGCTGGTGCAGCCCAGGGAACATCCAGTTCAGCCTGTGCAGGGTACAAGGCCCTGCCTTGGCTCCCAAGCCTCGGTGATTCCCGCCCGCGTCCTCCCTGCCCCCTCCCTAGCCGAGCAGATGTGCGAGCAGATGTGCACCCAGCTCGGTGGCTGCAGCCGCCCCAGGCTGAGCACGTGCCTTCTCCGGCCAAGGTCACAGCTGAGAACCAGCTTGCTGCGCCCACACTGCCTGCATCGGAGGCGGGGACACATCTGAGTTAAATTTAGTCCCTGTGTATATAATATTTATGCCCACGGAGGCACAGGTGTGTAAATATCCGGCTCCCTGTAACACATCTGTGTGTGTGTCTGAAGCAGCCCCATCGGAGCCGTTCCAGCATCATGTCGATCACTGCCGAGCCCCCAGGAAATGACTCCATTGTCAGGCGCTATAAGGAAGATGCGCCTCATCGGAGGTGGGTGACAGGTGGAGGGAACAGGCGGGACATTTGCCTGGTACCCACGAGCCCCCTTCTACACTTACTAAGTCAGCAGTCTGTGAGGCAACCTGGAAGTGTAGGCAGGATGGCGCCCATTTTACAGATGAGGAGGCTGAGGCCCAGAGAAGGCATGTGGCTTTCCCAGGGTCACCCAGCTAGCTATCAAATGAAACCTACACCACTCTGCCCCATGCTGCCCAGAAATCGGGTTCCTCGTTCCGGAGCTTGGCTTTTTCTGCCAAAGAGTGATAGACACCATAAATGGCCTCCCCACTCTCCCCCCTCTCCCCCCTCCTCACCTCTTGAAAACCATCATTGTCCCCAACTAGTGTAACCACAGTAGAGGTACGCCTGGGCAGCCGGTGTTTCCAATCAGCCAGACAGTTGGCTTATCACACTCCAAGTCCGACATTGGGCGGTTTCTGGCGGGACTGAGAGCAAGGAGTGGCTGGCAGGGCTGGATCCACAGCTCCGGTCCTGCCCACGGCCTCGTTTGGGCCTCATTACTCTGTGGCAAGAACCACATGTGGACAGTTTAGAACTCTTGGAACACGCTGACACCTCACCTCCATCCAGTCCCATCTGAGGGGCGCTCCATGATTTTAGGCCCATCACACAGCGCAGCCCCTCCGAGTTCAGATGGGTGTTAAGTACTCTGTGTCAGAGAAGAGTGAGTGGAAACCAGCAGGTGGGCTGTTGGGGATTCTGTTCCCCTGTTCTTCATGCCCCTTCTCACACCAGCTGATGTGGCCTCTGCAGGGTGCAGGGCCGCCCAGCCCTCCCTCGGCCCATAGCCCTCCACCCACCTGCTGACCTCCCTCTCCCATCCATCCTGTGCTCTTAGAACCAAGGCATCTCGAAAGCCAGAACATTCTGGAACCTTCCCCCTCCCGTGACCACATGCACACACACTCATGAGAGCTCTCCCATCCCTCCCTTGTGTCTTGCAGCACGATTGAAGAAGACAACGACAGCGGTGGATTTGATGCCTTAGACCTCGACGGTAGGTACCTGGCAGATGTGAGAGGCGTTCCAGGTGGAGCGGCCACCTGCCGTCTGTCAAGAGTAGGACCACATTGCCCACACCCTGACCCTCCAGCAGGGTCCTCCCGGGACAGAGCCCTGTGCATAGTAGGTCCTCAGGAAGCTGTGTGGACTGGGTTCCAAGAGCGCAGGGCTCAAGTGCTGTCTGTGTGCATAGAAGATGGGACGTCCCTCTGTCCTGTGATGAGCTGGCAGGGCCGGGGGTGCCGCGAGGAGCCTGTTCTGTTTTGGAGGCATTAGGGGCCGTCCAGCTGCTGAGCAGGAATCAGAGTTAGGTCTGGGTTTTTAAGAGAGAAGAGCTTTCATGATCGTAGCCACGCCCTGTGGCCGTGTTTGTCCTGTGTGCCTGATCCATTTTAATCGACTCTCAGCAACTGTTTGCAGAAATCTATTGTCACCCTCATTCTGCAGATGAAGAAACGGAGCCTTAGAGAGATTAAGGAGCAGTAGAGTGAGGGTGGACTGGGGGCAGGGAGACCTCCTAAGAATCCATCTCTTAAGCTGTTAACCAACCTGAACGAGCCAAGTAGTAGGAATGGGGGTGGAGGCTGGGACTGAGGGTGGTGGCAATTAAGGTTCTTTTTCTTCCCTTGAAGTTGGAGGTGTGGGGCAGGCAGGCACCAGGGAGACTGAGGGTGTGTGGTCATCCTAAGACGGCCCCGCGGGCAGAGCTAGTATGATGGAGGGGATATTTCCTTGGCCCCAGAACACACCGTGCAGAGAGCGGGAAACGAGGGCTTGGTCTCCAGGGAGAGAGCCAGTGCTTGGCACCAGCCACCGCCCCTTATGGCCAGGAGGTCCCGTTCAGCCCAGCAGACCTTGAGCCTCCACACCTTGCCGGGCCCTGTTACAGGTGCACGGGACACAAAGATGTCCCAGAGTCCTTGCTGTTGCAGAAACTGTGGTGGTATAGCTATGAACCAGTGAGGATGATGGATGCAGATGTACAAACTGGGAGCATCTGACTGGACGGGCAGGGGGTGGGGCAGGAAGGTTCTGGACTCTCAGGAGATGGCTTGGTGCTGTGGGATGGTGGCAGCGTCCCCTGGCCCCCACAGAGCCAGCAGCACGGAGACTGGCTCCGAATCCTCCGGGTATGGCCTGCCAGCCCCCTCAGTTCCAGCCCCCCCCCACCCTGCCTCCACCCCTCGCCAGCTCAGCTGCCAGCAGATAAAATGGAAGATTAGTGGCTCTCCTTAATTGGGGACCATCAGAAGCTATCAAGTGTTAAAGAGAGGTTAGCACCTAATGGAGGCTGGGTAATAAGAAGAATTGAAGGAGTTTTGGAAAGGGGAGAGCTGGGAAGAGAATTCTGGGCAACAGTCCAAAGCATTTTGCAGTGTCGGGACAAATTCGCTTTGCAGAGAAGCCTCCGTTATCAGCCCAGAGCAGGGTTTGCAGATCCTCCATCCCAACAGCCTGAGCAGTGTGGAGGGGGCATCTTTCCCCTGGATCCTTAGGGTCTCGCTAAGTTGAGAAGAGAAGGAGTGTTTCTGTACTCTTCCAGACTCTGCTTTTCCAGCCCTGCCTCAATCCCATAGGCTATGAAGCTGGTAGATGGTGGTGAGACCAAAGGTAGTCCCAAAATGAAAATACAGACCCCAATTCAAAGCCAGAACTAGCATCTGCTAATGGAGACCCCTTTTCCAGATACAAAAAAGGAGTCTTAAGATCCAGATCGCTGGCGAGGCTTCCTACTAAGAGAGACTCCTGGAGACAGAGGAAGAGCTCTATTGGAGGGGATGCAAGGACTGGACCCTCTGCCCCTGGGGGCCTCAGGGACCCACTGACTGATACAGCCCCTCCTCCAAGCTTCCTCATCCAGGCGGAGAATTTCCCCGGAGGCAGGCAGGGAGGGGCAGGGGCCAGAGGACTGGCCTGCAGCCAGGGCCCTGGCCAGCCTCCCCCAGCATCCCAGCAAGTCCAGGGGCCGCCGTTGGTGCAGCACTGGCTCCCAGAACCTGATGGCCCCTCGCTCCTTTGCAGATGACAGTCACGAGCGCTACTCCTTCGGACCCCCGTCCATCCACTCCTCCTCCTCCTCCCACCAGTCTGAGGGCCTGGACGCCTATGACCTGGAGCAGGTCAACCTCATGTTTAGGAAGTTCTCTCTAGAAAGGTACCGTGGTCGTGGGAAAGGGGAAGCCAGGGTGGGGGGGGTAGGGATAGGGTAAAGACCATTCACCCCCTGGGTCCCCCGCAAAGGAGACCATCCATGTCACCCCCGAATTCTCCTAGAATCAGAGTCCTGGAGTCATGGCATCCCAGACTCAGAAATCACTTGCCATGACCCTGATCAAGCCCAGAGAGGAAGGGGCTTGCCCCGGGCCACACAGCTTGGTAGAGACAAGGTGGCAGGACTCTGATGTCCAACTGGCCCCGGGCCCCGCCTGTGACCCGCCAAAGCCCAGTGGGCCGTGCCCACGGCAGCCCTCGTGGGGTGCGAGGAGGAGCAGAGTAGCCAGCACGCCCAGTCAGCTCAGCCGATGCAGAAGGTCAGCCCCGTGCATGACCTCAGGTCTCGCAGCGACAGTGTCTCCACTGCGGCCAGGAGGGCGGCTCAGCTTCTTGTCTGTTTTTACAGCAGGAGCCAGTTGCGATTTCTCAATTAAGGCAGCTGTTGCATCTCCCTGGGCGTCTGATGAACCCGGGAGGCAGCACCCGAGTCCTGCCCTCTGGTGTCACAGAAGAGGTGTCCTAATTACAGCTACCTGACCTCTCTTTTATCTCCTGAGCCAGACCCTTCCGGCCGTCTGTCACATCCGTGGGGCATGTGCGGGGTCCTGGGCCCTCGGTGCAGCACACCACGCTGAACGGCGACAGTCTCATCTCCCAGCTCACCCTGCTCGGGGGCAACGCACGCGGGAGCTTCGTCCACTCGGTCAAGCCGGGCTCCCTGGCCGAGAAGGCAGGCCTGCACGAGGGCCAACAGCTGCTGCTGGTGAGGGGCTGGGGGCTGGGGGCTGGGGAAGGTGGCAGCACAGCCCAGGTGCCCGTGGCTCTCCCTCCTTTTGCTCTGCATACCTACTGCTGACAGAGGACGAACCCCCCAGCTTTGCATTAAGCTACAGATTCCCGGCCAGCGGGAGGGAGCTGGAAGGTGGCAGGGCTGTCAGCTCCCCGCCACAAGTGCCCCTCCAAGTCCTTCTCCCCGCAGCTCGTCGCTTGTGTTTCTAGAGCTTGTGCACACCCACACGTGCACACACACTGGCACACTCATGCCCCGGGTGGTAGACAGGAGGCAAATGAGCCCCATTTAAGTGGGGTGCTTTCTTCCCTCTCGGCAGCGCTGAGCTAGTCAGTGTTGGGGAGAGATGCTTTCGTTTCCTTGCGGAGTGGTCTCTCTCCTGTGGCTCTGCTCACCCGCGGAGCCCGGGAAGAACAATGTGTCTTTGATATCTAGCTAGAAGGCTGCATCAGAGGCGAGAAGCAGAGTGTCCCCTTGGATACGTGCACAAAGGAGGAGGCGCACTGGACCATCCAGAGGTGCAGCGGCCCCGTCACACTGCACTACAAAGTCAATCAGGAAGGTGAGGCCGCCACACTGTACGCACTACGCTGGCAGGACACCAGGCGGGGTGACACCCTGGACAAGCATCCTCTGCTTGCTTGTCCATTCAGTGGTATGAATAAGCCGGTCCCCACCCCGTCAGGAGGATCTAATGGGGCAGGTATGGGACAGCAGGCAGGAGGGGAGATGAACATGAACACATGTGCACACATACCTGCTCTGGTGCCCCTCGGGCTGCCCACCCGGCTCACAGTGGAAACAGCGCGCCCAGCCACAGTGGACTGCTGGACCCAGCAGGAGGAGGCAGGGCCCCCAGCCAACGGCCGCATTCCGGCCAGGCCCAGCTCACCCCTGTCCCTGCCAGGTTGAAGTTTGCATCCTCTCTTGGGCTTCCCAGCCCTGACATAGACAGCGGCTCTGGCACCAGCAGGTCCGCTGAACCGCATCACGGGCCAGGCCTTTTACTCTAAGGTCCCTGCTCCAGGATAGCCAGGCCTCACCGCGCTCACTCATCTGGCCCTCGGCAGCTTCTCCATCATGTCTCCACTTTCTCGCCCAAGACTCCCGGGCAGTGAGCACTGAGCTTTGTCTTCCATTCGCCAGCATCTGAGTTCTCATTCTCACCTCTGGGTTTTTTCCTGCATGATTATGTCTGCAGCTGGATCTTATTTTTAACCACCAGGGCTCATGAATGTTTCAACAGAGCATAAATAGCCACTTTCTCTCTAGCTGTCCCCACTGCCGCCTGCTCGTCCACACTCCTTCCCAGCAGAGCCCGGTCGGTGCGGAATATGATAATGATGCTCTGTCCCCAAACACAGGGCCCAGACTCCTCCTCTCTCCCAAGCCTGGCCTTTCAGCCCAGCAGAAACTCTGTGGGCAGTACACTGCCCACCGGCAAGCAGTGCCATGGAACGTGATGGGAACGGTGCCCCCCAGAGCTGTGCAGCAGCATAGCCCACAGTCTGGAATAGTGAAAGAAAGGTTTCCCCTCGCAGAGTCCCGTTTGTAGGGCCTTTTCTCCCAGGGGGTGGAGAGCTGAAATGGCGGTGGGTGTTGACCCCGACCAGGTGGGTGGGAAGGATCTGACCCGGAATCCCTGTTTCTCTATGAACATTGATCAGACAACCCTGCTGGCTCAGATCACCCTGGCATGTGTGGTGTGTATGTTTAACGAGCTATTTCTGGGCCTGGTTATTAGGACCTTTTTAGCTTCCACTGTGTTATGCAGGTCTCTGCATGTGGGGCTGATTTCTGGATTTGTATTATGGATTTATGTCAGAGACGTTCACTTTGCTGCATTTATTGTATTCATGGTTTATGCCCTGCTTCCTGTCAAAGAGATTTGTAAAAATTTACACTAAAGGACAACGATATTAAAATAAGGTTAAAACAACATGTGCCACGGTCCTACCATCTTGGAAAACCATTTGGTAATATCTACTAAAACTAAATATATACATAATCAATGACCTAGTAATTCCACGTCTGTGAATATATCCAAGAGAAATGACTACATATGTCCACCAAAAGATATGTGTAAGAATGCTCATAGCAGAGTTATTCGTAATAACCAAAAACTGGAAACAGCACAAATGTGCACACAAGAGAAAGGGTAAATCAACACCGTGTGGAATACTGTATAGCAATGAGAAAGGGTAAATCAACACCATGTGGAATACTGTATAGCAATGAAAAAGAGCACACGATGCTACATTGCAGCATCATGAATGAATCTTACCAACACACTGTTGAGCAATAGAAGCCAGACACGGAAGAGCACATACTATTGGGTTCCATTTCTGTGAAGGGAGGCACAGCTTGTCTGTGGTGATACGGTGAGGATAGCAGTTACTCGTCAAGAGTATTAACAGAGGGGGGCATGAGAGATGGTTCTGAGTGGTGGTCACCCAGGTGTATACAGTTGTGAAAATTCATCAATCTGAATACTTAAGAATGTGTACGGTTTACTGTAAGTTATGCGTCAATTAAAGAAAAAAATGAAAAACAGACACCATGTAATGGTGGGGAAGGCATGGAGATTATAGCAGAGATCCTAGATTTGTTGCAACTTGGCACAGAATTTGGCTCTGAGCTTCTTGGCAGCCAAGACAAAAAGGGAAACCCATAAGTGACACCTCTACTCATTCATCAGAGAGGGCAAACTGTTTCTAGCCACAAACTCTAAGAGGAACATATCACGTTGGGTGCATTATGTGGGGGTGGCAGTGAGTGAATTTGCTCCAGGAGGTGTCTTAGGGGCAGGAGGCTCTTCGCCGACAGAGAGCTGGTGCTTCTTTTACCTTCTTTCCTTCTGCAGGGTACCGGAAGCTGCTGAAGGACATGGAGGAGGGCCTGATCACATCGGGGGATTCCTTCTACATCCGGCTGAACCTGAACATCTCCAGCCAGCTGGACGCCTGCTCCATGTCCCTGAAGTGCGACGACGTGGTACACGTCCGCGACACCATGTACCAGGACAGGCATGAGTGGCTGTGTGCACGGGTTGACCCTTTCACGGACCACGACCTGGACATGGGCACCATACCCAGCTACAGCCGGTGAGGCTGGAACCCGGGCGGGGCTGGGGGGCTGTGGAGCTCAGGAGAGGGGATCATGGGGGAGCCTGTGCCTATTGACCAGTGTGGTCCCCCATTCCCTCCTCCACGTCGAAGCCTCCCCTGCCTCCCCAGGGATGTTGCTCTCTAAAATCCCATTGCTTCATTAAATCCCAGAGCGCCCTCTTTCTGTCATTACCAGACAGCTTGGTGCTCGATTTTCTGCTCTCTTGGTCATTAGTCATTTCTTTTCCATAGGCCATCTTCCAACATCTTTATGTAATTACAGAGCAGTAGCCGCCAAGGGCTGAGCGTCAGCCTCCCCTGGTTAGACATGCTGTGTGGCTATAAAGCACCTGTAGACTCTAACGCTGCTGCTCAGGCCAGCCCCACGAGGTCAGCATCTGTAGACCCGATTTACAGATGAGGAAAGCAAGCCTCAGAGGAGTTAGGCAACTTTGTCACAGCCCCGCAGAGCCAGCGCTGGAAGCAGGATTCAAGCCCAGATTCAAGGCGCCATGTCTTCCCTGGGGTGCCCCTGGGGCTCAGAGCTTACCCCTTGCACAGGGCCGGGCACACATCCCCTGCCTGGGGCTTACCCCTGGGGTCTGCTCCCACCCCTGATCCTCGCCCTCCCCTCTTGCCTCTGCAGAGCCCAGCAGCTCCTCCTGGTCAAGCTGCAGCGCCTGATGCACAGGGGCAGCCGGGAGGAGGCGGACACAGCCCACCACACCCTGAGGGCTCTCCGGGTAGGTCACCCAGCAGCCCTGCCCGCCTCACACCACCTCCCTGGGTCTTTTATTGAGGGATAACAAGTGGGAGCCATTAATCTGATTGGGATGATGGATTACAGGGAACTTGGTTCCTCGGGAATTGGACACCCCTCCAGAAGGAGCCCTGCCCTCTGTCCTCCTCCGGCCTCTGACTTTGAGGTGACGGTGATGGCTGAGCCAGGGTTTTCCATCTGGCTGGGATGCAGGCCTTCCCTCTGCCATCTCTGGTCTCTGTTGGCACAAGTCTCGGGGCTCCTCTTACCCTTCCGGGCTTGCTCCCCATCTGGAACACTTTGCCCCATGGCGAGGCTTCTCCCCCTTTAGCACAGAGGGGTCTGGGGTCGCGTCTCTGGTTCTCAGTGGCATTAGTGTGCTCTCGTGTCCTGCCAAGCCCAGCGGTCTGACTGATAAACTGATTTCAGAACACCCTGCAGCCTGAAGAGCCGCTTTCCACCAGTGACCCCCGGGTCAGCCCCCGCCTCTCGCGAGCAAGTTTCCTTTTTGGCCAACTCCTCCAGGTAAAGCTCCCCAGAGCGCCTACTGACTTCTCAGCCCCATTTTGCTGCGGCTCTGCCCTCTCCCTACCGAGAAGAGAAGCCTCTATCAGAATGACAGTGCTTTGTGTCTCTACACCACTTGCAACTTTTCACAGCGCCTCACATCTCCCGCAACATTTGATCCTCAGTGACAGGTCGGTAGACAGTCTCCATGCCTGTTACAAGCAAACCCTGCTTTCATAAAAGATTTGAGGCTAAAAGAAACTTAACTCAGCTGTTCCAATATTAAAAGAAAAATCAGAAACAGTGTATCAGTTAACATTCCAGATATCCAGGTCAGTTTAGACCTTCAGATTGAGCATTAAATTTGAGCATCCTGGCAGCCAAGGACAAAAGGGAAACCCAGCAGATTCTTTAAATCTTATCTGACCACAGAAATGTTTTAGCTCTTCAAGACCAGAAAGAATTTTTCCCTTGTACTTAATTCTAAAAGGATTTTTTTTTTTTTTTGGCATGGATCATAATACAGGGAACGTTGAATAGCATAGTGGGTGATATCTTCAGAAGTGGTTTCACATAAATGCAGAAGCATTGTGTGTGGCCATTTCCTCTGTCACCAGTTGACACAGGCTGAGAGAGGGATACTGAGCTGTAGCCCCACGAGGATGTTCCAGTTGGTGTGGGGCTACTCAGGCCCCAGTGGAGCTCGAGTGTCCCTCCACTGCTCCATCCTGATGGTGGAACATAGGAAACCCAGAGAGATAGTTAAAGGTGTGACCCTAAAACCCAGGTAGACACGGACAGGTAAGCAGAAAGACACTTTCAGAGGTGGGAGGGAACGCTGGTGAAGTCTGAGGTGCTCCTGAAGGCAGGACCGTGGGAGCCCTCACGTTATTGTGCCCACATGTCATACAAGAGTCTGAAACCTTGAGCATCTGGGTGACTCACTCCAAGACTGGTTAACAGCAGGGCCAGGCCAAGCCCCCAGCTCCTGGATTCTCCTCCGTGCAGAAGGAGGGCAGGGAGAGATTCAAAGGAGCCCAGGGAATATGGCGGGAACCTGGTTCTGTGCCCACCATTGGGGCGTCCCCTTCTGCCCTCCAGGACCCAACTGAATTGTGGAAGGGAGCAGGCCTCTTAGGGATGCTGAGGCAGAGGGTGTAGAGAGCACGATGTTGCAGGAGATGAAGTCATCCTGCACGTGCCCACCAGCTGCGCAGTCTGTGGGCTGGCCTGCCGGCGGGGGCTCCCAGCCAGGGCCTTCAGTAGCTGGGCCACTCCAGGTGCCAGTGTGCTCACATGGGCTGTGCTCACGTGGCCTGTGCCCACAGTTCCCCCGGGATGCAGAAGAAAGGATTGTAAGAGGGCCTGGTGGTGGGCCTGCTCTGGACCAGCACCCAGCAGGTTTCATGCCTGGTTGGGGGAGAGCGAGTGGTGTTTATTCACTTATTTACCTACAGTGACATCCCAAACAGCCAAAGGACTCGCACCACCTGCTGGGTGTCTCCTCTCTGTACAGGGAAGTTGACTGACCCTGGCCCCGGGGCAGAGCTGCGGCCTGAGCAGAGGTCTGCAGAGTCGGGGTAGAGGCGGCTGGATGGGGTTGGAAGCCATGCTCTGCCCTCCCTCTGTCCTCCAGTTCGTCAGCAGGTCCGAGAACAAGTACAAGCGGATGAACAGCAATGAGCGGGTGCGCATCGTCTCAGGGAGCCCGCTGGGGAGCCTGGCCCGGTCCTCGCTAGACACCACCAAGCTCTTGACCGAGAAGCAGGAAGGTATGATGCTGACTGCCTGGCCCCTCCGTGCCTCCTGCAGGCCCGGTGGCCTCAGGGGTCTGAATGGGCCACGTGGGTCCCCTCGAGGGGCACTAGGATGCCTGCTCCCTCAAAATGGGGGCTACCATCTGGGGAGCAGCTGCCTGGCCTTGGCTCGGAGGACCACTCAGCCTCCTGGGGCGGTATCCCGCCAAGCTCCCCCCTAACACTGGCTCTAGTTGGTTTGAGCCCAGATGCCCGTGTTAATTGGAGCTGTTTGCTGTAAAGTGGTCATTTATTGATTTCTCTCCCCACTGCGTGCCTCTTGCTATTCATCAAGCCAGCGAGGGGCCGCCCGGTGCACAGTCCCTGGTGGAAGGCTCCGCTCATGGTGCCCAGCCCTCCCGCCCCTCCTCCCAGGGCCAGGCTGTCCCCAGCACTGATGCTCAGAGGAGGGCCTGGGGCTTCAGAGCCGGGGCAGCCAGGCCAGGGGGCGGAGAAAAGGGACAAGCCATTGGTCTCGCACTCCTCGCGTCTGCCTTGCCCTCTGCCCGGCCCGCTCTTGCTCAAGCTCTCCTCGCCAGGCTCCTTCTCTTGGTGCTGGACTCGGTCTGTGCCCCTCAGAGGAGCCATCCCTGGCCGTCCTGCTCCAGGCCCCTTCTTCAGAGCCCAGCACCATCTGAAGTGATCAGTCTGTGTGTGTCTGTTACACGCTTCTGTCTGCCTCCCGCCACCCTCGCCCCTCCTGGCACACGAGCGCTGAGAGGCAGGGCCGTCTGCCTGGCTCAGCGCTGTCGCCGCAGCTCCCAGAACAAGGCTTGGCACACGGGTCACTTCGTAAATATTCCTGGATGGCCAAAGGGTGTCCTGGGCCCTGTGGGTTTGCAGTCAGCCGACAGGCTTTCAAGGCTCCATCAGGCCAAGAGGGCGCCCAGGGTCTCCGTGACTCCCACCACCGCCAGGCGGGCAGGGGTCTCACGGCCAGTCCTTTCCTATCCCCTCCCAGAGCTGGACCCCGAGAGCGACCTCAGCAAGAACCTCAGCCTGATCCCCTACAGCCTGGTGCGCGCCTTCTACTGCGAGCGCCGCCGGCCCGTCCTCTTCACGCCCACCATGCTGGCCAAGGCACTTGTCCAGAAGCTGCTCAACTCGGGGGGCGCGATGGAGTTCACCATGTGCAAGCCAGGTGAGTGCCTCACGCCGCCCTGGGAGCCCGTCCACTCCTCTCCTCTTCCGTCGTGTCTTGTCGCATAAAGGGGCTGGGGAGGCACTTGGTGTGTGCGGGGAGGGAGAGCCTGCAGTCCGTGTTCCCATGGCCTCCCTCTGTGAGTTCACGGGACCCCAGGAGCAGCGAGAGCATTCTCTTCCCCATTTTACACTGAGGTGACAGGGCAAAGGTCACAGGGTCAGCAGGAGACTCAACTTGGGGTCCCCACTCTGGGCCCTTACACAGGAGGTGAGCTGCCCTCTAGCTCTGGGCCTCCACGTCCTCATGTGTGGCTGGTGGACAATGATAGTACCCCTCACAGACAGAGCACGGAGCCCTAATCCTGGCTGTGTGCTAGAATCATCCTCAGCATTGTCCGTATTTAAATCTGTGGGTGTCCAGGCCCACCCCAGACCAATTAAATGTCCAGGGTATATTTTTAGTTATGGCAAAGTAAATAAAACATAAAATTTACCATTTTAACCATTTGTAAGTATGCAATTCAGTGGTATTAAATACATTCACATTGTTGTGCAACCATCACCACCGTCCATCTCCAGAACTTTTTCATCTTCCCAAACTGAAATTCTGCCCCCATTAAACACTAACTCCCATCCCCCTACCCCGGCCCCAGCACCCACCCTTCGGCTCTCTGTCTCTATGAACTTGACGACTCTTAGGTCCTCATGCAAGTGGAATCATACAGGGTTTGTCCTGCTGTGACTGGCTTGTTGCACTTAGCATAATGTCTTCAAGGTCCATCTATGTGGTAGCAGGTGTCAGAATCTCCTTTTTAAGTCTGAACAATATTCCATTGTATGGATGGACCACATTTTCTTTATCCATTCATCCGCCAATGGATACTTGGGTTGTTAACACCCTTTGGCAATTGTGAATAGTGCCCTGTGAACATGGGCGTACGAGTATCTGTTTGAGTCTCTGCTTTTTGTGATTTGGGGTCTACACCCAAGACTGGAACTACTGGATCATGTGGTCATTCTATGTTTATGTTTTTGATTTTTAAACTGCCACACTCTTTTCCACAACAGCTGCACCATTTTACATCCCTACCAACAGTGCACAAGGGTTCCAGTGTGTCCCCATCCTCACCAACACTTGTTATTTTCTGTTTTGTTTTTTCTAATAATGGCCATCCTAATGGGTGTGAAGTAGGGATGTCAAGGTTGAGGTACAATTTACACACAACAACATGTCCCCTTTGTAAGTGTGTGCTTGAATGTGTCTGGACGAGTGTGTACGCCCTTGTGATCACAGACGGTGTGATTGGTTGGAAGGAAGGATTGTGTTCTTTGAGGCGAGTGGCCTTCAGTTCAGGTTCTGCCCTGCCCCCTCCCCCTGCTGCTTGATGTGAGGCAAGTTATCAACCTCTCTGTTTCCTGGCCTGCAAAACCAGATAATGGCAGCCACTCCTCGTATTGGTCAAGGGCTCGTGGATGGGCAGAGGCCGTCCTGGGGCTACACCCAGCATGGGTTCTGGGTTCCTGTCCCCGTAGGTGGAGCAGGCAGGGCACAGACTTGGGGCCCATGCCTCTCTGAGCCCCAGCTGCTGCAGCCACCGGAGTGCCCATCTCCTTTCTCAGCAAGGCCCGCCCAACTCCAGGGCTCTCCAGGTCCCAGCTGTTGGGTGCAGGAACCTTTTGGGGGTGTGCACCCCCCGGACCACACACGCCTTCCCGGGAGGCTCCGGGAGAGGGACTTCATTTCTGCCTGAGGCCCCAAGCATTTTCATTTTGGCCAATAGGAGGCTTGGTAAAAAACCTGACTTGAAAACCCCACTTAGCCCCTTGAACTCTGCAAATGTGTCCCATCTTCTCCTTGGTGCATTCATGGCCAGGTGGCCACAGGTGCTGTCAGGGCAGGAGTTCAAGCCTTCCTCCCTCCCCCAAAATCCCCCGGAGCTCCTCGCCTGCTGGGTTGCCCCAGATCCCTTCCAGCTCACTTCCACTGCACACTGTAAGTGTGCGTGCTGTAAGTGTGCATGCTGAACTGGGGGCTGGTGTGGGCTCCCCCCAGCCAGCCTGGGCCTTAGCAGGGAATTCCAGGCTTGGCCTTACTCCACCCTTCGCCTTCACAAGTGGAGAACATGAGAGGTTAAAGACGTGTTTGGGGTCACCCAGCAAGTAAGTGAGCCTCCAACATGCTCCTTCTCCTCCAGGAAGCCCACCTGCCCCACTTTCCCCCCGTACCTCCTCAGTGCTCCCACAATGAGTAGCCATTTACTGCACCTACTAAATTGTTTTACATCTGTATCCCACATTCTTCTCCCCAGCTAGGTCGTAGGTCCTCAAGTACAACAGCTATGTTTTTATTATATTTTTATTCTTAATGCCTGACCCTTAATAAGTTTTCAATAAATGTTGAATTATTAAATTAATGGATGGGTGGATAGATGAGTGGATGGATGGATAATGGATAGATGGATGGATGATGCATGGAAGGAAGGATAGATGATGGCTAGATGGATGGAGGGATGACGACGGGTGGATGGATGGATAGATAGATGGATGATGGATGGATGGATGATGGATAGATGGATGATGGGTGGAAAGATGCGTGGAACAGGAAGTCCTTCATGATAGGTGCCTGGTGACCAGTATTGCACCCCAGTGCCTGAGCTACTTTGTAATGAGACTTATTACTGAGAAGCCAAACTGCGAGTGTTTATTATGCACCTATTCCGTGGGCTGCCGTGGGGAGTGGGGAGAAATATGATCTTGACCCTGCCCTCAAGAAGCCTCATAGTCTAGTGAAGGAGACAGGGTTCATTTAAACATGGCCAGAAGGGGGTCGGACATGGAATTCGGTCTAGCCCAGAAGGGGGAGGCAGAGCCTGGATGGGACAATCAACCCAAGACCACCTCGTCCCGCCCTCAGGACTGGCCCCTCTCTCTCCGCAGATGTTGTCACGAGAGACGAGTTCCTCCGGAAGCAGAAGACGGAGACCATCATCTACTCCCGAGAGAAGAACCCCAACACTTTTGAATGCATTGTTCCCGCCAACATCGAAGCTGTGGCGGCCAAGGTGAGGCGGGGCTGGGGGCCGGATGGGGGTGAGACCTGCCCGATTATCTTTGTGAGGCCACCTCAGCCGTGGACAGGGGTGGGATGCAGAGTTGCTCTCACCCTCCCTCCCCACCGGCCAACTTTCTCCTTTTCCCTGTCTCCTTCATCTGCCCGTCTCTCTCCACGCCCTTGTTCTCCGGGCTCTGACGTGCATTTATATTTTGAAACCACCTTCTATTTCTGATGGCTTCCTGGTGCAGGTGTTCCAGTTCGCATTGTTTTGGGGGGGGGGGGTTCTGCCTGTGATAACAAGGGCCAGACACAGAGAGCGTGTCAGGGCCAGAGACAGGGAGAGCAGGTGGGTGACAGGTATTATGTTCTCCAAATGAGGGAAAATGGGGCGTCAGAGGGTTATTGGCAGCGATGCAGGAGAGGTGTCTGCATGCAGTTTAGGGGTGACCCTTATTGGCCCTGAGCACTGAGTTCCTTCTTGTTCTAGGGCCTAATGAAAGCCCGGCCGCAGCCCACGGCAGCCAAGTGCTGCCCCAGGTCTGGGGGTCGGCTCCACGGTGGGCAGTGACCTTGGGGGTAGCAGGAGCAGGTGCCCAGCCGGGAACTCTGCATGTGCCGTCCAGCTGACAGTCACTTCTGCGCCCTCCCCACCTTGTCACTCACACAGATAAAAGCACTGGCAGAGCCATCCGCCAGCCTTGAGCGTTGGTTTAAAGCCTGAGCTGGAGCAGTTTAGGGAATTCTGACGGCTGGAGTGGATAGAAAATGAGCGGACCAGGTTGAAATCGAGATACTCTTAGCGAAAAGTTTAGCCATCTAATGGATCCATGCAGTTAGAAGTCCCGCTGGTGGCCACGCTGGTGGGGAGGGGGGCAGTGACCAGAAGGAGCATGGGGGGGTCTGGAGCTGGTCATCTCTACCTCTGGGCCTGGGTGCTGCTTCCACAGGTGCATCCAGTTTGTGAAAATTCACCGAGCTGCACGCTTGGGAACACGTGCGCTTTTCTATACCCGTGTTCTATCTTGCTGCAAAGGTTTTTTTTTGAAGTGACGCCTTCAGCACAACAGAGATTGTCCTTCTTCAGAAATGACGAGCTCGCGGGCCCCAGGGAATCATGTTTGAGAATGCTTGCAGATGCACCCAGGGCCCACAGCCCGCCCCACCTTTCAGGGGCTCTCCACCCCGTGCCAAGTACCAAGGGTGCCTTCCTTCCTGGGCCGAGCAGGGGGCAGGTGCCCTCCGTGCTGATTCTGACTTTTATTAAAACTCACACCGCCTGACTCACCTCGGGCTGGGTACCCCGTCTCTGCCAATGCCTGTGGCTCTGCACAGCGCAGGGGAACCAGGTGTCCAGGCAGGTGGGGCCCTTGTCTCGTGGGGAGCGAGTGTCACCTTGGGTTGGTCCCCACTTCAGCCCGTGGCACGCAGGGCTCTCGCCCCCACCACGTCTGTCCTCTGAGCCTGACCCTGGGTTGCGGGACCGCCCCAGGCGCCCGTCAGGCTGGAGGAGCTGGTGGGGGGCGGTGTGCGCTGCTGACCACCAGCCGCTTTGCTTGCAGAACAAGCATTGTCTGCTGGAGGCCGGCATCAGCTGCACCAGGGACTTGATCAAGTCCAGCATCTACCCCATCGTGCTCCTCATCCGGGTGTCAGAGAAGAACATCAAGAGGTTCAGGTAAGGCTCTGAGACCCCCGGGCCCTAAAGTGCCCCCTTCTCTCCCTCCCACCCCACCAGGCCTCGGGTTCCCACCAACAACAGCTGGCTGTGTCTGTGTCCCCACCGCTCGTCCCTTTAGTGAGTCTTTGTTGTGGGCCAGACTGCAGTCCAGGGCAGACACAGCCCCTGACCCCCAGCAACAGAGACAGGGACACACGCACGTAGAACGTGTCCGGGGGACAAGTGTGGGAGGGATGGGTGGGCACCGCGGACCCAGGTGGGCAGGAAGCTGACGTTGGAGCAGACCCGCCACAGTGAGGGTGGGCCGGGCAGGTGCTGGAGGTGACGGAGGAGACGTGCTCTGGGCACAGGGCACAGCTGGCGCCCAGACCCTGAGGCAGGCACAGCCTGGAGGAGGCTGGCATGGGCAGGGTGATAAGAGCTGACCTTGCAGCCAAGGGGGGTCCAGACCACTCCGGGCCTGTCAGCCGTGGGAAGGATGTGACATTTTATTCTGAATGAGACAGGAGCCACTGAAGTTTGTGAGCAGAGGAGTGGCATTACGTCTAATGTGGGATGAAAAAGTCTTGCTCTGGCTGCTGTGTGGACACAGGCGTTATGACCACATGGGCCAGAGCTGGACCCTAGATCCTGTCTGGGGGCGGTGAGGAGAGATCCGATTCTGGGTTCTGTACGAGGTCAAGCCTGTGCAGTTTGTTGAAGGGTTAGCTCTGGGGTCCAGTAGAAAGAGAGGAATCAGGACGATGCTGAGGTTTGGGCCCTGTCCGTCACGCAGCCGTATCTCTGATCCCCACCTCTCCTCGCACACGACTGCAACCGGGACTGAGAGGTGAAGCCACTCTGTTCTCTCACCAACTACTTCCTGAGCACCTACTGAGTGCCAGGCACCAGGGGACCCATGAATGAGCAAACGAGACAGAAATCCCTGCCCCGGCACCTCACGTGCATTCTGACCAAAACCAGAAATGTGCAGGTGCTGGTGAGAGTGCGGAGAAATCGGAACCCTGTGCCCTGTTGGTGGAAATGTAAAACAGTGCAGCCGCAGTGGGAGACAGTATGGAGGTTCCTCACAATATTAAAAATAGAACTACCATATGATCCAGCAATTCCGCTCCTGGGCGTATACCCAAAAGAATAGAAAGCAGGGTCTCAAAGAGATATTTGCACACCCATGTTCACAGCAGCACTATTCACAATAGTCAAAAGATGGAAGCAAACGAAGTGTCCATCAGTGGATGAATGAATAAACAAAATGTGGTCCATCCATACAATGGAATATCATTCAGCCTTAAAAAGGAAGGAGATTCGGACACCTGCTACAGCATGGATGAGCCTTGAGGACGCTGGGATAAGTGAAATAAGCCAGTCACAAAAAGACAAATACTGTAGGATTCCACTTATATGAAGTCCCTAGGGTCATCAAATTTATAGAGACAGAAAGTAAAAGGGTGGCCAGGGGCCCGGGGAGGGAGAAGAGTTAGTGTTTAATGGGTGTGGAGTGTCAGTTTGGGAAGGTGAAAAGTTCTGGAGGTGGTTGCACAACTGTGTGAATAAACTTAACGTTACTGAACTGTATACTTAAAAATTGTCGAGGGGCCGGCCTGGTGGCATAGTGGTTAAGTGCACGCGCTCCGCTTCAGTGGCCCAGGGTTCGTAGGTTTGGTTCCTGGGCACGGATCTACGCACCGCTTATCAGGCCACGCTGTGACGGGATCCCAAATAAAGTAGAGGAAGATCGGCACAATGTTAGCCCGGGGCCAGTCTTCCTAAGCAAAAAGAGGAGAATTGGCAGCAGATGTTAGCTCAGGGTTAATCTTCCTCACACACACACACAAAAAATTGTCGAGATGGTAAGTTTTATTTTGTATGTACTTTACCACAACTTAAAATTTTTTTCAATCCCCACCTCTTGGGATTTCCGTAAGGAACAGAACAGAAGGGCGCAGCTCCTAGCATGCCAGAAGTGGTAGATGCAATGGAGAAACACAGCAGGGAAGGGAGCAGTCAGTGGGGTGGTCAGGGGGCCCGAGGAAAAGTGGGGAGGCCTCCAGCTCGGGGTGGCTGGACAGGTACAGCGCCACTTCCCAAGGCTCTCCTGGGGGCAGACAGTGGTCCCACGCCACAGGGTCCAGCCCTGCAGCCTCTCCCACAGCCCCTGCGTGTCTCCCTCGCCCTCTGCCTGCAGGAAGATGCTGCCCCGGCCCGAGACAGAGGAGGAGTTCCTGCGCCTGTGCCGGCAGAAGGAGAAGGAGCTGGAGGCGCTGCCGTGCCTGTACGCCACGGTGGAGGCCGACATGTGGGGCAGTGTGGAGGAGCTGCTCCGCGTCATCAAGGACAAGATCGCAGAGGAGCAGCGCAAGACCGTCTGGGTGGACGAGGACCAGCTGTGAGGCGTGGGCAGCCCGGAGTCTGAGCGGGCTTGGGAGGGGTGTCCAGACCCCACCGGGCAGTGCCGTGGGGGCGAGGGGCATTCTGCTGCCCACAGAGCCGCCCCGGCTTGGGGGCTCCATCTGCCCAGTGTGGAGCACCCCCAGGGAGCCGCGGGGGGCAGGTGCAGCCGTGGGGACAGACACTCGTGAGGGAGCAGGGGTATTTATTCCACCCAGGGCTGAGCTGGCTGAGTCGTCCAGCCCTGCTGGCATTAGTGGGGAGGCGGGGCCCCACGAAGGACACGAAGCCAGGCCCAAGGCCAGAGGCCCCTCCAGCCAGAGCAGCAGTTGAATGTAACGCATGGGACAGGTGTGCACCTGTAGGGCAGGGACCCCGAAAGCCAGGGTGCCCGCCAGCCCTTGGGACACACAAGCCACACATTCCCAGGCAGGACAGGGGAAGTGCACCATGCTATTATCTTTCTTGCATTAAAATTTCTCCATTTCCTTGTTTTCAACCTCTTTTTTTTTTTTTTATTTAATGATTTGCAGAGGTTCTCAGCTCTCGCCACCTTCCTGACCTGCAAACCACTCCCCGCAGGCTTAGTTCAGGGGCCAGGTCACGTAGCGGGGGCGGGGAGGAGGTGACCGTACATCCCGGTTTCCCAGGACAGGCCTGATTTACACCTGGGCTTGGGCATGGTTACTAACAGCACCCCTTTGACTGAGATGCGTCCTGATTTGGACGATAAATTATATCGTCACCCTGGGAGGGGCCTGTCCTTTCATAGACTTCTTGGGAGGTCCCGCTCTCTGTGCCCTGCATCCCCCGACTCCAGCCCTGAGGCCAGGCCCCCCTTACTCAGCTCTCCCCGCACATTGTTCTCTGTCTCTCTGTGCGTGTCGTGTTCCCACACGCAGCCCACTTCATCCCACAGTTCAGGGGGGAGCGTGTGGGGTAAGATCCCACTGCCCAGGAGCTAGGGGCCTGCAGGAAAGCTGTGCTTCCCTCCACAGAGGATAGCAAAGGCCCTTTCGGTTCTAGATTGTTCTTCTCCTTGACCTCTTGATACAGACTTCTCAAGTATGGACCCAACAGGGCACAGCCAAATGAGGCCAGCTCCCGCCGGGCACTGTGCTGAGTATTCAGCAGTTGGCAGGAGGCAGGCTGGGGTCAAACCTGGGTCTGTGTGTTCGTAAGATTTGTGGGAGCAAATACTAGTTAACAATCCCATATCCACACTCCCTTCCTTGCTAATGGAATCTTGATTTTATCTTGGGAAACTATGTGCACATAAAAGACCATAGTTTCCAACCTCCCTTGAAGCTAGGGTAATCAAGGAAATGTAAGGCAAAGTTTGGGGGAGAAACAAAGCAGACAAACAGAACTTCCTCCATTTCCTGCCTGGAATATAGATGTGATGGCTGGACCTCTAGCAGTCCTCTTGGATCTTGAGGATGGACAGCCTGCACAGAGGATGGTGGAACTTAAAGACAGAAGGAGCAACAGTCACTGATGATACTTTCGAGCCCAGGACTGCTGCCTGGGCTTCTTGGATGAGACGGAAATAAATTTTTTTCTTGTGTTAAATGGCTGTTATTTCGGTTCTCAGTTACTTGCAGCCAAGAGCGATTCCTAACAGATATAGGAACAATCCTTTCCTTTGTAGTTTCAGATACCAGGACGTGAGTTGATCCTCTGCCAGGTGTTTGCCACCTATTCAAGATGTGAATTATGAATAAAAGAACTCTTAATAAATATCTCATCCTAAGAACCAACATTGTGCATCCTATTGCATTTTCTAGCATTTCAACCCTTAGAAATCAAATTAGCACTGCAGAGCCCCAGGAGGTGCAAGTGGGTGGCTGGGGGTCTCAGGAGGGAGCCTGGTCGTCTCCCCGCTCCACAATGCTCCATCTCTACCACCGAGATCTGAGTTTGCCAGGGAGTGTGACACATTTTAAAACAGAAAGCATTCCTCCAAGAGCCAGTGAGCGATGCTTCCTTCTCCGAAACAGCCCCCGGAAACAAGCTGGATGTGCTGGTCTGGAGCGGCCGTGATTCCGGAGGTCCAGCAGCGGTTACTGAGGGCCAGATAAACTGCCGCGTGGGGAGATGTGAGAGCTGGAAGGTCTTTTGCTTCCCTCCTGTTAGACCTTCAAGTTAAACAGTAAATTCTCCCCCCGCCAAGGCAATCGTGTTTCCCCTTAGAAGCCGCGCTTCCTTATAAAGTACTTGGAGCCAAGGGGACGGACGTGACTGGAAAAGAGTCCTGGAGTAGAAGGTCTGCTGATGTGTGTGTATTTATTTATTTAACTTCAGAATTCTCAGGCCTGGCAGAATAACCAAACTCGTGGCTTGCCTATGATCGGGGGGTGGGGGTGGACAAGGAGGGGTGAAGGGAGGCCACGCGCGGGGAAAGATCTGAAAAGAACTTGTGATGGGGTTTTTCTTCCCCCCCACCCCCACCACCAAGTAGTTTCAGCCAGGCTCCAGCGCGCAGGCTGTGGGTGTCTATATGTTAATAAGATGGGGTAGAAGCAGAGAAGGTCGGGAACGAGCTCCTGTGTGCCGGGTGGCTCCCCGATGGACCAGTGAAGTCAGCGGGAGGCTGGGGTTTGGCCCCCAGGGAATCTGTCCGCGTGAGGATTTCCAAGGAGACCCCTGACATCATCTACTCCAGCTCCGAGCTTCTATTTGTCAGCTGCCAACCGCCCAGCAATGGGCAGCCCCATGGCTGCCTGGAAGGAAAAATGGGGCCTGAGTAGGGCTGGGCGGTGGGGGCTCAGAGCTCAGAGCTCTCTGCAAAGCCGGCTGCAGCTGGAATTATCACACCAGGGGCTGCAAGCCGAGCTTTTCCTTGGAGCCAGCCCAGGGCTCGGGGAGGCTGCCCTGAGAAGCACAGTGGGGCTTGCTGCCCACACAGCGAGCCCGGGCCCCGGGCTCTGGAAAGAAGCCTGTGCCAGGCTGATAACACCAACGATGAATGCCTGGTCTGCCTCCAAGGACACCAGCCATGCAGTTCAGAACCCTGGAAATTGTGTTCCATGTGTAGACCTACACTTTTCTGGGGAGAAAGTCCAGACTTTCAGATTCCCTAGGGGTCTCATAATCCCCAAAAGATGCAAGGCCACTCTCTTGGGCTTAGCAAATATTAAAAACTTTTTTTTTTTTTTTTTTGGCTAAGGAAGATTAGCCCTGCACTAACATCTATTGCCAATCTCCCTCTTTTTTTCGCTTGAGGAAGATTAGCCCTGAGCTAACATTTGTGCCAGTCTTCCTCTATTTCATATGTGGGTCGCCACCACAGCATGGCTGACGAGTGGTGTAGGTCCATGTCCGGGATCCAAACCTGCAAACCCAGGCCACCAAAGTGGAGCATGCGGAACTTAACCACTATGCCACGGGGCTGGACCCATTAACAACTATTTTTTGAGCTCCTACTCTGTGCCAAGAACTTTGTAAATGTTCTTTTACTGATCCCAAAACTCTCCTCCATTTTATACAGGACAAATCGAGGCTCAGAGAGGTTAAGTCACTTGACCAAGGTCACACAGCTGGTAAGCTAGAACCCCACTGGCTGATTTGCCAACTGCAGGCTCTTGGCTGGATCTTCCGGTTCAGAAGTGCCGTTTGGGACCCTGGGGGCACCTGCCGTGCCTCTCCTTTGCTCTTCCAGTGACAGGGGAAGTGGCTGGTGTCCAGGGCAGTGGCTGGTTTGGGGCCTGGTGGCTGGGTGATAAGATCAAATGGAACGGATCTCCTCTCTTAGACCGAGGCAGCCTGCTCAGGCCCCAGCAGCGCCACCTGGGGGACCCTGGGTTTCTACGTAACCAGGCCACAGTTAGGGTTGGGGGTGGCATGCATGAGGGGGCCGTCTTTGAGCCCTGGCATCACGCCATCGTGCTGCCCCCCACAAAGCCGCCGCATCTGCTGGCCCCCTGCTCCCAAGTGTGTCCATCTGGGCTGGCGTCCCTCTCCCAGCCCTGCTTTGCTCCGTCTCCTGGGTTTCTCTTTGGCGGTCCTGCCCAGGTCAACCAGGACGCTATGGCTGCTTGATCGGGAGACCCGGCTCCCAGCGCTTGCTGCAGCCCCTTTATCACCCCAAATGTTCTGCACGGGTTCCAACAACTTCCGGAAAACCTTGCCCCTGTGCTCTGAGGGCCTGGGACCAGAGAAATCTCCAGAAGGGGAGGGGACTGCTCCAGCTGAGGCTGAACCTCGGCTTTTAGTTTCAATTTCAAACCCCAGGAACCCAAACCGAAAGAACAGGAAGTGCTCCCCGCCCCCGCCCGCCCACCCAGGCCAGCTTGCCACCCGCAGGCCCAGATGCTCCCTCTGAGGTCACGGGGCTGCAGCTCTCTGGGGAGGAGGAGGAGAGAACAACTCCGACCTCGTGGGGCTGTCGGCAGATTGAGTGAAGCTGCGAGTGCGGAACACCTGCCCGGCCGTCCCCAGGTGGCCATGGGACACAGGGCGTCCAGCCTGTCACCTCTCGGGCCGGCTGCACAGGACTGGGCACCTCAGAGGGGCAGGGGCTTCGTTTTTAGTCTGGAATTTAGTATCCATTTTTAACTGATGAAATTTTCACGGAGTTCAAAAGCCACCCCTTATCAAAGGCCACCCATTTAAAACTGTCACCTCTGCCCCGTCCCCGTCCCCAACCCCCAGCTCACACAGGAAACCACTGTTATTAGTGTCCCCTGTGCCCTTCCGGAGTCTTCGTGCCCAGACAAGCGTGTATACTCCCTGCCCCCTTCGTTGCCCTGTGGAGAACACATTATTCACACTGGTCTGTACCTTTTTTTGTTTTACCTGAGGCGTATATCTTGGGGCTCTTTCCTTATTCGTTTTTACAGCTGTCTAGTCTTCCCCTGTCTGGCTGTCCCATCGTCTCCTCGGGCAGCCCTGTGTTGATGAGTGTCCAGATTTTTCCAGGGAATGGCTGTGCCTCTGCATCCTTTTACCCGGGGTCTCTGCGGGACACGCTGCCCTAGGAGGGCTCACGCCCTTGCACGGCCCGCAGGGCCCCCATCAGGGCACCACGGGCCCGACACTCTGGTCTGGGCTTTTTCATTGGGCCCATCTGACCCATCGGGGCCGTTGGCATGTGGGACAGCAAACTCGCCATCACCCTCTGGCCTCAGTCACACTGCGAGGTTCT